CCAAACTTGACATTTTTTTCTGAGTAGGTCTTCGTAGTATGGGATGCCATTACTTGGGGTGCAGCCATTTTGCAATAATATTCAAACATATTTTTTGTTTTCATCTTATTTATAATGTTATCGACATATCAACTGTTATTTGGCACTGTAGGTCTATTAATACTGGTCATGACTATATTTCAGAATTTTTCCCAAGATGACGACGCCTTTGAAGAATGTTTTATCATACAAAGCTTTCAAAGTCTGAAGCTGTTTTTCTTTATCCGATTTTCTTTAAACAATGACAACTTTACACTGAAAATTCTACACACTCTTCGAACGACGCAATTTTGAGAACTTATTTCTAAAAGCGGCAAGTTTTCATAATAAGTAAACCGTTGCCGCATCGCAATTGTATAGGTGTAGGTTCATGTCACCATCATATACCACTGGAGATACCCAGGATGATTTTCTTTGATATCATGCATTTTCTTGAAAACATTAAATACAACAATGTATGATAAATTTTCTTTTGTAACCTGGAAGCTGTATGTTTATTTACAGTATGTTTTATAATATAAATATATTTTCTTATACACGTAGGTTCTTGTATTTATATGCAATACACAACACATTAAACTATTAATATATTCAATTTATTATATTGTTTATAAAGTCCAATCAATAATCATTTCTGTGTTGAATATTTAATTATGAATTTACTTACTAATTTTGACAGAATAACAGTTTAGGACCGCACAGAATCAAAATATCCGTTACCAAAAACATGTTACTTCAATAATTTGAACAATCCGACTTGTCCCGCTTGTGTGAACTGTACACATATGAAAACAAGAGCACTGCTAACGCTGCAATATACATCGACATTCTTGCTTTGATTGATATGGTACTTTTTAAAATGAAGAGAATGAAATATGAAATGGCTGCAATGACTGTAATATGACAAGAGACAAAGAAGGCTAGGCGTTGGGTTTGTTTTGCCAAATTTACAGATTAAATATTAACAAACAAAAGTGGGCGTGATACCCCGATCCCCTGGGGGTAGGGGCCTGCACCAGAATAAATGGTTGCTGTCTTCACGGTATAGGAATAAATATGCAAAGTTTCAAGATGACCCATTCCGAAATGCATCCTGTGAACGATAAATGCAAAAATTGGGCTTGGTTCTGCCCCTCGGGGTTGGAAATGGAACAATATAAATATTATTATTATTACAGTATATTTATAATAATGACATAAATGATGATCATGTTATATGTTAATAAAACATAAATTTCTGGGACTGTCCATCTCTAAATAAGCGTATTATGATGCCCTTGGACAACTATTTTGATTTGTAGAGAGTTGGATGGGGTGGATGCATGCGTGCGTGTATGGAAGAGGGGAGGGGGGGGGGGTAAAATTAGCGGGAAATGGGTTTATGTTGATATAAATGACGATTTTCTTAGAGCTTGGTAGAAACATCTCTAATTATGTGTATAAGGTTCCCGTTGTGTGGGATGGGAGGAGGTGCAGAATTGACCTGAAAAGTAGCTTCTCGTTAGCGTTTTCGTTCAGTACCAATTCCGTCATTCAAAATATTAAATTACTAGCAGGATACCCGGCTTCGCTCGGGGGTCATAACTCCGAAACCGGAAGTGGTAGACTAACGCCACCTGGCCTATGTTACTCCCCGGTCCGAGCTACCCCTATACCCCAAATTTCAGACTCGGGGCAGACCTAGTGCAGCCGCCAACCCCGAACAGACCGGCTTCGCTAGGGGGTCATAACTCCGAAACCGGAAGTGGTAGACTAACGCCACCTGGCCTATGTTACTCCCCTGTCCGAGCTACCCCTATACCCCAAATTTCAGACTCGGAGCAGATCTAGTGTAGCCGCCAACCCCGAACAGACAGACAGACAGACAGACAGACAAACGACAGTCACAAATATATACATGTATATAGATAGATAGATAATCGTAATTTTCAAGCGATCTGGAAATGTAAATAAAAACAAGAGGCATGTTTAGATATTAGTTTATTCTTATAGTCTTTATCAGACGATTCAAAATCAAAAACTGGTCTAGAAAAACTTGGTTTCATAAATTCACAGCTCGGGTGGCTATTCCTCCCCTTTAGCCACCGGACTAATTTGCGTGTGGGACTGTGTCTCCTGGAGGAAGTTAACCCCAACGCATATGACGATATGATAATTTCACAGGTTGATGGTTGTAAATTACTTGCAGGTCGGGGTTTTGGCCTAAATTAATCGATTTATGAGATATATTATTTGACAAAGATTATATTCAGATATGCCACCAAATCGCATATTTAAGGTTCATTTTTCAAATTTTTCCAGGGGGAGAGCCCCCGAACCCCCTGTCCAGGCTCCGCCTTCAGTAAAAGGGGCCTCTTAATTAGCTGAATCTTAATTAGCTATAGGGTTAGCTAGCTTATACTTCATTCTTTTTCTAAGGGTTAATCTATTTTTGTATTTATGGACGATCTCGTTTGGCAAGGCAGTGGCGGACGCAGGTTACTTGATTAGTTATGACCCGGGAGTCTTCCTCCAAGAAAATAATAGAAAATCGGAGTGTCAGCTATACACCAACGAACAAAAAAATCAAATTTACATGCGGTTTCAAACCAAAACAATACTTAATGAATTATTATACTGTTATTTAGAGGCGTAACCCTGATCCGCCACTGTGGCAAGGCTGGATAATAATACCGTGAATTGTAATGATATTGAAACATGAACACTTTCTTCATATAATGATTTGAACCCGAGATTACATTATTAAAGTGGATAGTGTATTAACATCAACAGTTAGTTTCCGATACGCGTTTCGCAGCGACCCGGACTAATTTCACCAACTGGTAGCTAAGACGGGATTCATCCCTAGATTGCCATATTATACAGGGTTTAGACGACGTATCACACATCAACATCGGTTATTGACGAGGGAAATAGAGATCTACGCCTTCCTGTAAACGATGATGAACCTGAAAATACATTTCATACATATATTGTCCATTAAAAGTCATTCAAAAACTGAAAATATTTAAAGCATGTTGCGAAATATTTTCAAATAGCAAATAAAAGTAAGACAGTGTTTTATGTTATGTCATCACCGTGCGAACTTGATTAAATGTCACTTTGGCGCTACAATATTGTCCAGGGTATAGCCGTACATGGACTGGCCCCATATACAGGAGAGTATAGTTTTGGATGATTTAAGACACAATTTGTCAGTGCTATGAGGCATTTCAGCATAAATCGTTCTATCCTAAAGTGTAATTTTTGGTCAAATTTCGTCGAAAAATTGAATGACTTCCAAATAATACACAGTCCCTTAGAAACGGACTTCTGAGAAATAGTGTAATTTGTTTACGTTGGAAAAGGTAATAAAAGAATTAAAGCAGTCAAATGAGAAAATACAGGGTAAAGCCACCTAATACATGAACATAGCACGATGAATATAGATAGGTGGCAGGCAGCACTGAAGAACAAGCTGCTTGGTTTAAACTCCATCCGAGTACACATTAAAGATTCCAAATACATATACATAATTAAATAAAATAAATTACTTCGTCTTTGATAACTGGTAGATATTCCATTGCTGATGGAGTTGCGACCAATACGATTTGATTTTTTCACGATTTGAAAATCTGGGCTTATTGACGATCTGGCAATTTCGTCTGTAAAAATAACACTTATTCCCCCACCGTACTTGCTGTTGGTTTCTACTGAAATGGAAACACAATCTATTAATCTGATAAATTCACAAAGCAGACAAACATATTGGAAGAACGGTCAAAGAGATACGCAACCACCATTTTACCCTCCAAGTCAACCGCACGTGCAATCTGATTAAAATACAAGATCTATATTTCGTTTCGTTTTTTTATACTTTCGATGTCCTACACTACATGAAGATCTGACAAGTTATAGCCATGGGTCACGTCAGGGGTCAAAAGACCGACTTATGACCTATGACGTCAGACATTTGATTAACCAATCAGCATTGATGTTACTAGTGGATTACCCACAGTTCCGTGCAAAACACGCCTAAAGCTCGTCGTAACAGACCGTTTTATTGGCTTATCCCTGACACCATTCAGAACATGAGTTAAATAACAACTCTTCCAGATCCAAGTGTAGTAAAAACAAGTAAAACGAAATTTTGAACTATAAAAACGAAACGAAATAGGATCTGTGTTTTAACCAGATTGACCGCACGTGACGAACAAAGTTCAATTACATCTAATTAACCTCGGCTGTTTGGCAAAACTAGACTGCTAACAAAATTCCCCGTAGGTGCAGAAATACTGATATACACAAATACTTAGTCTAACGTTACCATATCAGTCGTCCTGTGACATTCAATTGATGCTTAAAGTCAAGTATAAAATGAAATCAAACGTAATAAATAGAACTTAAAAGTTTTTTTTAGCTACCATCTGAATTTCAAATTATGTTGTTTTTTGTCGATGAAGATTCAGTTCATTACTGTCTATTTTGTGAACAACATTATTGTTCATTCCGTTTGGAAACATAATTCAGTCTCATTTGCCATAGCGAACTCCTGGTGCTACGTATAATTAATTTTAGACGTGAAACGGTCCTGAATCTACTTCTGCCTTACGATATGCGTCAGTCAACCATTTTTTGGTGAATCAGCGTGAGCATTTCACACAAGAAGTTGCCATCACGTAATGCTTGAAAGACAATTTTTGAGAATAAAAAACGCCAAAACCTTTTTGAAAGGAATTGGCGATCATGATATAGCTAAACCGGGGCGCGATCACACGGGCCTTCTCTCGTAGTGCACTATCGATAAAACACAGGGAGGTTCGTTGTACAGTGAAAAAAAAAGAAACCCAGTTTAGTTTTAAAAGGTCGTCAAATCTTTTTGGGGCAGATTTGTTGCTTGGGGCAAAGGCATCTGCCTACACCGCCTATAGGGTAACCCGTTCCTGATTAACCTTGTATACCAGAACCTATATTACTGTTAACTATGAAACGAACGAGATATACTTACCCAGATTTTTAACATTTTCCTCACTTCTAAGAACACTGTCAGTGCTCGATTTCCTGTTATCATCGGGGTAGTTGACTTCACCAGCTGTACTAAAGACGTCTTGTATTGATGTCGATCTTTGTTGTTTCAATTCGTCAGCAGCACCAACCATAATATTTTTCGTCTTTTTGGGTAGTTTAATTCTGGCTTGCGCATGAGAATAATATAAAGTAAAGTTGTTGACTATCACAGGTACTGGCAGCGCCAGCATTAGTAGACCACAAAGAGCACAAACAGCGCCAATAATGTAACCTAACACTGTCCTAGGATAAATGTCACCGTATCCTAGAGTTGTCATAGTAACGACAGCCCACCAAAATCCCCGTGGTATGTTCCTAAAATCATTGTGTATATTTTCATCTACCTGTTCGGCGTAATAGATAAGGCAAGCAAAGATAAGCACCCCGATAGCTAAAACTAATATCAGAAGCATCAACTCCTTTGCACTGGCTTTTATAGTTTGTGCTAATATCTTCAATCCACTAAAATGCCGAGTTAATTTTAAAATCCGAAATATGCGCACCAATCTGAGAGCATTAAGATAATACAGTCCAGTTGAATCCTCTAAAGCTGGGTCGAAATGAACAACAATTATCTTGGAGTAAAAGGGTATGATGGAGAAGAAATCCACCCAATTCAGTGCTTGCTTCACATAATTCAATTTACTAGGACAAAAAATAAATCTAGCAATTATTTCACATGAAAAATACGCAATGCAAGTATATTCTACAACATCAAGAAAAAGATAGGGTCTTGTTAATTGTTGTGTCTCCAAGACGGTGGTTTTTTCAGTAATAGTCCTATTCGGATTCTTGAGAACGCGGAACTGCAAATGCGTCTCCAAGCAAAAAGCCCCGATAGAAAAAAGAACAAAAACTAAAGATATGATGGCCACAACCTGAAATAGTCAATAAAATGACACATTTAGCAAAGAAAGGATGAGTTAGCATTGTGATAATGCTGTACGGATAGATTTAAAATAGTATCTTTAGGATCAAATTTACCATCAATAAGCTGTATTTAAATACTAAACGCCGACCTACCTTAGCAGCTTTACTAGAATTAGGTTCCTCGAGAAGATTCCATATTTTAGGTTTCCACCTTACCCATATACTCTTCTCGCTCAATTTTACTTCTTCAACTATTCCAAAGCGCATAGCTATTTCTTCACTGATTTCAGTATCATCATCAGCCCCGTCTGTAAAATCAACTCCATCAAACTTTGCTAAAGTTTCTTGAGCATCTCTGTGCGCACGATAGGTGCTCCAGCAACAGGGCTCAATCTGCTTTTCATCAATTCCCCAAAATGCTAACTCTTCTTCAAACATCGGTCCACATACATCTGTAGGTGCATGTAGTTTGCCGATTCGGTAATAGTTGAGAATCATGTTGAAGACTCCTGGGTGTCTATCAAAGTAATATTCGCCCTTAACATTATCACAGTCCGGAGTTTGAACTGTTGTTTCTGTTATCCATGAAAGTCTGGTATCTGGAATGTTCTTTAAGGTACTGCGATACGTTTCAAAACGGGTACCACCAACATTGATGACAACTCGGTTGTTCATTTGTTTGTTTGGAACAAGCGACATTTTCTGCATCATTATTTTCCGAAGTTTTATTTGGTTACCATCCCTCCCTTTATCATCTCTCAAACACGCTATTCTTTGGGAATCACAACTTTCTATTCTTCCGAGGTTTTTTTTACGGTGGAAATAAATCGAAGATTTTATTCAACAAAATAGATGGTATCTTCTAAAACTGCAACTATCTATTATGTAGTTATGACGACCTTATCATTATCAATTTAGCGATTAGAAACATTAATAAACTACCTTTCAAGTGACGTTTGGTGAAGAATCTTGACGCTGGAATCTTAAGAGAAACGGACAGGTGGTTCTACGTTATTTAACATGTGTATAGATTTTCGATCGGTATATATTTATTTTAGGATTATCAAACGATATCTAGCCTTCAATACCAATTACATTAGCTGTGACAGAAATATGTTCTGAAAAGAGAGAATAAATCCAATACACAACATCATTTAAAGTTCTGTAGAATATAGTGGAATTTAATTAACGTGCATCGATAGAATTTTTTTATTCTTTAGAATTATAACGGTCACGCTTTTATCCTTGCCCCGTGCCACTATAAGCAGTTTTAAAGGGGGGAAATACAATTAACTCTCAGTTTCTGAGTGTGCTTTTTTTTGTTCCGTGCTATTTTCGTGTATTGATAACATATCTATAAATGCTGAAGTTTAAGAAAGGTTTCATTACATCACACCAAAAACAAGAGCACGCGATATGATTATTATGGTGTTCTATTTCGGCCACTCCACTATTCGCCTTTTTTCAATGTTAAGCTACAGAGAAAAAAAAAGAAGCGACGTCAACTTTTTAATAAGACGCCGCCCTCCACGTCGCGTCGCTTTTTCTGAATGGATTTTGTTTATAGTTTTGAAATGCTCATGTAACGGGAGAATTCATTTGCAGTTTATTTGGTATTTATCTTCAATACAGTAATTTATATTGGACACAAGGAACTGCCAATAATATCCTTTATATAACCTTTTCTATAATATCCAGATTATATGTTATATTTTAAATCTCTGTTCTAAACTTAAAATTTTAAACTCTAGTGTGAATGAGCGCTCTCGTGCTTTCTGCTTTGATTTTCTTAATTGTTGAACTTGAAGCAGTGGTGTGTTTAATTATAGTGTTGATTACAATTTCTGGTAAGTCCTCCTTCCTCTTCCGACACAAGGCTTGATCAACTTTTGACAAAGCACCCGCTATGACGTTTGTTTTACCTGGTATGTACTCAACCTTTAAGGCCCGGTCCCACTGCACTTATGGAAGCAAAGAGGATGTAAAACGGGGGAAAAAACGTGCCCTCCGTTTGAAAACGCAATGCATCCGTTGTGTACTCATTGCATACGTGTTTCATACGCTCTATCCATCGAGCATCCGTTCACTTTGATTTCATCCGCGCAAAAAGTTTTGAGCTGCACAAAACTTTTATAACGGATGAACTTTCTGCCGTGTACAATGTAAATGCGCGACATATACGAGCACCAAACGTTCCATGTCCGTTATCATCCGTTAAACGTCACTGTATCCTCTGGGCATCCTCGCAAGTCATATCTGCTCCAGCTGAAAACGGAAAGAGGGAGGAAAGATAAGGTACATGGAACGTCTATACATCGTTAGTAGCACGGAAATAGAAAGGATGTAAGCGTATGCATCTCGTATATAAAGTTTCCAAAACGGACAAAGCGTTTGTATCTGGGATGTATCTGGTATATTGAAGGATGTCTGGAGTTTGCCTAACCCCTTCGGAGTGTCATCCACTTCCATCCGCTTTCATCCGCTAGGCTTCCGATGAACACCCATTTAACATCCCCGCTACATACTTCCCACGTTCGTTCTTTTCCGTTCTGTTTTCGCATATTTTCGTCAATACTGTCCATTTCTGGAGCGGATGAAAACGGATGGAGCCAACTCCGAAAGTTTGCTCGTCCGCTGTGTCCTTTTTGCATACGTTTTGTGTCCATCGGCCACTGGGACCGGGCCTTTTCAATCATACTTAGTTGTCCGTAATAGAAGTCGCTGTAGTCGTGGACTGGACTTGCTCATTTGTTCACGAAATATTGATTTAAGAGGCTTATGATCAGTCTGAAAAAAGTACAGGTTTTCCACATATAAAATAGCATCCTCGGTAGCCCCAGTGCTCTCATTCCGTTATACTCCACTATACCCTGGGTTAATCCATAGGGTTTCCACGATTCCAAATTATCTGAACTGGCCTTGAGTGTAGCTAAAGTCTGCGAACCAATCAAAAAATAGTTTATAAACCAGCCGTTCTCGTTCGTTTTATAAGGGTAGATAACCATATTCATGTCCATTTACTGAATGATTTATGTAAATTTTGTATATATTTCTAATTCATTAAAGATACATTATGGGAGATTAGATAAAGAGCTGACAGTTTTCACTATAATAGTTAAAAACTAGATAATATAAAGGGAATTTGCTGAAATTTCAATCAAATTGATTCACTTTGAACCGAGAATTTAGGGATAGAATTTTTGGCCTAGCCTCGATCATCATTACTAATGTCGGTACGATAAAAACATAGTCTCGATTATCCATTTTTTAAATTTAATTATCAATGAGCGTTGTGTAGCAGATAGGATTCTAATCCAGTAAACATCGCAGGTTAGCGTTTACATCGAGAGTTGATTATGGTCTGGATTAGTTAATTAATGTCTAATTTATAATTTAGTGGAGTAAGCTCCAGACCACTGCTAATAGACCTCTTTCGATATTGCTGTGTCGCTGTTCTGTCTCGGTAAGTGAAATTGATTTGTAGCACATGGGTCTAGAATCTTGTAAGATGATACAACCCAGGTCTCTTGTGCTTGCATCACATTGGATGAAATTCTCTTTCTTTGGATCGTTGTAGGCTGGTGTGGACAAATTTTAAACTATTTCTGTCTTAATATCGCCGAAAGCTTTCTCATGTCAGGATACCATTGAAAAACTGAGTTCTTTTTGAATAAATCTGAGAGATGCTGAAATCGTGTTTATTATTTTGGACTGAAACGATTGAGGAAGTTTACTATAACAAGAACAAGAAACGAGTAGTGTAAGTCTTCTTTTGAACGTTGTGCTCTCATGTTGAATATACCATCTATTTTCTCAGGGTCAGGCTTTAATCCATCAGGAGTCCAGATATGACCAAAGAATTTTGTTTCTGCAACTTTTAGCTGAAACTTATCTCGATTAAATCTAATGCTCATTTCTCTGACTCTCTTCAGAATATTATGTAGATTTCTGTCATGATCTACTTCATTTTCACCGAACACAAATATATCGTCAGCTATACCAGAAACACCTTTAAGATCACCAAAGAATTCGTCCATGTTTCGTTGAAAAATATCCGGACTCAAAACCAATCCAAAGGATAGCCTGTTGAACTTGAACCTGGCAAATAGTGTAGAGAAGATAGTTAAATATGGCAATTATGTGGAACTAACTTCTCAGATATATTCTTGAATAGAATATCAGCCTCGGCTCCTGTGTCGACTTGGAACTGTACACCTGTATGCTGTTTATATGTACGTTTAGTTCTTACAGGAAAGTTTATCAGGCATTTGTCTTGAGAATTGTTGTGTTGGACAATCTGACTAGGATTGCCTTCATCTGGTTTGTTATCGACTGAACCAATAAATAGTTTATCTCACCAAAATCTTCTATTTCTACTGTATTAATACCAGCGTATTGTTGTTGGCTGGGCATTATCTTCTTGTATGAGCCTGTTAACCACAATATCTGAAGGAATTCCTACTTCCCTGTCTTGAATAGGGTTGGGGAGTATTTGGCATCTTAGATGATGAACCTCTGTAGGATGAAAATTGTGGCTTAATGTGGTGTGATTTTTCTCTGCTGTTGTTGAAATCGTTGATTTGGACCTTGATATGAACCTTGGTATGACCTATTGTTATATATATGAACGGGTCTGGTCGCTAAAAGATTGCTGATTTTGGTTTTGAACAGCATACGGAATCACTGGCAGTAGTGACATGCATTTCCTTCATTTGGCTAGCCGTGTGCGGACATATAGTATAGCATCATCTTGAGTAAGCCGATTCCCTTTTGATATACGAGTGTGTCACGAACTTGTTCTTCAACAACGTCGTCAGGAAATCCACAATCTCTAACGGTAAGACGAATTTCGATAAGGAAATCTTCGAAGCTTTTAGATCCTTGTTCCATTTTTCGTAATCTATATCGACGAACCAGGAAATTAGCTTGGCGGGCATTTAGTAATTGAACTGGAATATACAGGTCACAATTCTATGGAATACAATTACTGATAATGACTAGAGAATCCTAGTCGAAACGTCGCTCAGTAATAAGCAGTTATTGTATTCCATAGAATTGTGACCTGTATATGTATAGCTGTATAGAAACTATTCAGTTGTTTTTTCGGGCAACTAGTTTCATTATGCGAAACAATCTGTGTTAAACGAAATCGGGGAGATTTCGATTTGACAGGCTTCGAAGTGTTTTGGTTCTGTTATGCAAGATCTTTTTCGACGTTCCAAAGTAAATGTACGGTGCTAAGACCACCTTAAGATAAGTTTTAAATGTTCCTATTATTAATTAGAACAGGTTTCGCTTTAGTTTTTATATTTTACGCTAACATTTTATTGCTTTAAATCTTCCTAATGCAAAACGGAAAATTTGACCTTTCACCTCCGAAGTCAGAATGAACAAAGGTGAATTTAGCAAGTTTACATTATTTTTATTGAAAGAGTGATTACTTTTCAGGATGTTTTCATGATACAAGAATGGCTGCGCATTCACTTTCAGTGCGAATGACCCCATTTGACCGTTGACCCCGAATATCTCGAAAACGCCCCAAAGGCGGACTGATTACCGGTCGGCATCGTATTTTTCGCTAAATTTTACTTTAGAAAAGTTGGGTCTGGTTTTGTGCCCATTTGATACCCCACCCCCGGACTGAGCCTCCGGTCTATAGAGTTGGTAATAAGACTAGTTGAATTTTTTTGATTAAAGAGGGTTTAAAATAAGTATTTATTAAATTAACTTATACATGTACGTAAATTTTTTATGTTTAATGCCCCCCTCAGTCCCGAAATGACTTAGTTTGTTTCGAGTGGACATTAAACCCCATGGCACAGTGAGACACATGATATTATCATGTTACGGACACCCGTCGAAATGAAATACATATTGATCGTTTGTGGGGTGGGGGGGGGGTGGCTGTCAGTGTATAGACAGCGTAAATCTGGTTCCGATGCATGGCTTGGGAAACAATTCTGATCCAAAATAAAGTCTCCTCCCAGTTTACGACGGTCCCAAGGCTCTAAATGGCGGACGGTTGTCCCATACGCTTCTGTAATAATGCATTATTTATTAAGCTATTTAGGTTCCTTGTCTATTTGGTTCTCTCAAAATATAAATAGGTCTATATCCAAAGTTGTCCAATAATTTTTAATTGGCGCATAGTAGACATAGAAGGTGAATTTCGACTCAAAAGTATTTGAAGTAATTAATAAACAAAGATAAGACGAGGATACCCATTTAAAGACAATTGGTGTGCTATACGATTCTACTTATCAAAAGAAATAAATTCAAATTACTTTAATCTGGCATTTAACAAAATGAGACCTTGGTATAGTTGGTATAGTTACGTCCAAGAATTTTGATACTCAACGATACAGCCTTGTTTTTATGATGGTTCGGAGATTTATGAAACTTTTCACACGGATTTACTTTCTGAAACATTTAATATTATACATGTACTATACATTACTCGTAAACATAATTACTTACCGTTACAAAGATGAACAGTTTAGAAATATCCATACGTTGTAGGTATGATGCTTCTTTGTACATGTATCTGATTCAGCTTTCGAACAGTGTATAATGTAAGGAATGTTGGGAACGGAATTCATATGAACCTTCACAAAACTCTCATAAACTTCTGTGTTAGGACAAAACTGATAAAAACCAGGACATTTTCGTTATATATTTTCCCGGGCTATCAACTGTCACAATAGTCACTACAAATGCCGTGAAAGCGCCAGGCACTTTGTCAGGATTGTCGAACAAGATGGTCTGGGAACCCCAATGCGACATTTGAATGGCGGAAATAAAGGCGATCTCCGTAGCTTGTGTGTACTCTGTGACAGGGCCAGAATGATTTGTGCAAACGTATTTTTTTGAGCCTGTACCCCAGGTGCCTGAAACATCTTATGTAACATATGAAACTTCAAAATTATATTTATTTAAATAATCTCTTGTGAAATAAACGGTAATCTATAACACTAATGCCTCTTGGCGAACAAAACGTACAGTTAAATAAATATTGAGCTTCACTTAGCTATTGGGGACGAAACGGTTAATTATAATTGATCGATCTGGATATTTTTGGGGGGCAAAATATTTCTTCAATAAAAGTGCTTTCGTTGTATATGGCCGTAAACTATATTTAGTCATCGATGCTAAATGATTTTCTTTCATCTTCATCTTATAACAAACAATTATCTTTTGAATTCAACCAAAAAAAACAAACTCAAGAGACGGTGAATAAAGTCATTTATTTCGTGATAAGTTTTTAACTATAACAAACAATAAAAGTCAATTTGATAAGTTGACAAATTAAACATACATTATGCAAGAGCTAAATCTGCCAATTGCACGCCTTTCTTTAGGCCTGAAATGTTATCTAAATTATTAATTAGACATTAATTAACTTATACAGATCATAATCAACTCTCGATGTCATCGCTAGCCTGTGATATTTACTGGATTAGAATCCTATCTGCTGCACAACGCTCATTGATAATTAAATACTAACTGGATAATCGAGACTATGTTTTTTATTGTACCGACGTTAGTAATGATGATCGAGACTAGATAAAAAATTTAATCCCTAAATTCTCGGTTCAGATTGAATCAATTTGACTGAAAATTTCAGCAAATTCCCTTTACATTGTCTAATTTTTAACTATTATAGTTAGAACTGCCAGCTCTTTATCTAATCTCCCATAATGTATCTTTAACAAAATAATCTACACACATAAAATAACAAGGAACATGATTATAATAACTTTAATACTGATTCTAAATATATATTCCTGAAGCAATGGTAGCAAGCATGATCCCCTCGTTAACCTTCGTCAATCGCTACTATTTATTACAATCATAGGTAACTGATTTTAGGTTCTAATAAAACAAAACACAGGGAGTAATGAGTTGACCATTGCTTCAGGAATATCCAACAACCACGGAATTAATATCCTATACGTATTAATCACAGCTAATGTAATTTTGTAGCTCAAATAATTATATTTCATAAATGGAATATTTTACTTTGCAACATGTATATAATAACACAGTACTAGTATTTTAGAATATCGGTGCTATTTATTTATGAATGTTTTGTCTTAGATATACACAGGTCTCATATATTCACCCCAAAACAATTAATTAATAGATCTTTATAATTGTCTGTCACGATATAGAAGCAAGACCATTAGTTGACCTGTACTAAAAATATATTCTTAAGCTAGACAGCTCGATAAAAAAATCTCCGATGCTTAAAAACCCGTCCGTCCAGATATAAAGATATAAAAATATTGGCTTCCAGTGACATTTTTACAAAGATTTATGCAATGGTAATTACAAATACATCTCCCGTTAGGGTTAACATCATTAGGCTACTAAATAAAAAATCAACTTCAAAACTTAATATATTCACAAAACTTAACAAATCTCTCAATTATATATCCGACGGAGGCGTAAACTCAATAATCAAAAATTTTGAAAGGCTTCAACCGTATGTAAGCTGCGCAGTTAAACCAGTAGGCCATGTCAAAAACGAAATTGACTAGAAAATAACTGGTTCACAAATATTTTCATAATGACTAACAGTCTGAGGTTTGAAATATAATCATAACAAACTGGCCAATGTATTTAATCAGCGTCTGACAGAAAACAAGATTTCAACAAAGAGACAAAACCCATAAAACAAGTAGCCCTTTAGTCATGAAATTTGGTTACTTTTGAAAACATTCTAATAAAAACTCAACGGTTGCTTTTAATCAAATCATGTTTAAAGAAGCTAAAAGTGGACATTTTTCAATGAACGTATTCTCATTCTTTTGATTACCAGGTGTAAACAGAAGGCGACATTCGGGCGTTTACCGACGGCATAAGAGGAGTCTTTCACTATTATATCACTATTTTTGCATTTGATTTCCATTTTCTATCGACCATATCTTTATGTCGTGAACGTCTTCGTGTCGTGAAAAAACTACACTGGCGTCGGAATGCTGTGTTTAGAACTTCTGGAAACTGACCCCGGTGAGGCATCACACAGCTGTTTCTTTTCTTTCTCATCTTCCTCGTCAGTATTTCCACTTGAGGGCTTTGCTAATAAATAGAATTTTTTGAACAAAAAGAAGGCGACTCCACAGGATATACCAAATGCACCCAAAATAAAAACACCAGCTGTATGACTAATACCAAATTGTACGTTTGATTTTTTCTTGTTGCTGACATCGATGTTACATTTTCGTTTATCATCCCACCATCTATAATGAAAGAAGTAACTGGTTAGAATATAGCTATGTTTTGGCCAGATTTTAGGCATATGTGTTCATCATTTATATATTTTGTTTTGTTTCAAATTAACTTCGATAATGCTAGGTTCCCACTATCACGATTTGAACAACCTAGGCAGTTTTGTTTCAAAATCATAGTCAAATTAACTTCGATAATGCTAGGTTCCCATTATCTCGATTCGTGCTACGATTGAAATCATGTCAGGTCTTATCATATATTGAGGTCAGTCGTAGCAATGGAGTTGATTGTATCGAAACGTATCCGAATGTATCTGCACGTACCAGATCGTAGACTCAACAGGGACAATCCTATCGTAAAGCATCACACGAGAGTGGGTACCATAGCATTAGAGGCCCTTTTGAAGGAAACATGATTGGAAATTCGGGAATGAGTGGATCAATTCTGGTTTGCTATACGCTGCGTCCTTTTCCTACACCCAGTACCGTTAAAACCAACAGTTGTTTTCAAAATTGATACATAATCCCGAAATAAAGACATATGTAGACGAGGTTGACCGGGGATATAGCATATGTATATTTGTATTTGCAAACTATTTAATGCCATAAGCTATTAAAACATTTTATTTCATTCAAAAGCAGACACTCACTTTTTCTTCAACCCCTGTATCTTCCCTTTCTCTTTTAATTTCAGTAGTTCTATATTTATGCTGGTCTTAAAGGGAGCCCCTTCTGCCATTCCTATTCCATGTTCCTGAATTAAAATGGGCGAGGCCACGGCTTTAACATCACATTCTGCTCCTTCGGAGTATGCATTGATAAGATAATCAAACATGAAAGCATAATTCCCACGTGCTACTCTTTGGCGCCCCTCGGACGAATTGCTCACAAGACCGTCTGACTCTTGTATTTTTTCCCACAATCTTTTGAAAACCGGTTTTGTACCCATACTTAGGAAGTTCATGGTCGCAGAGTTCCTTACAGTTCCACAACTAATGTCATCATTTTCCGATAATGATTCAAAAGATGTTATGGTCTTTCCCAAATTTTTTGTGGTCAGGAAAGCTGCCATATTAGCGGTGTATGTTGCCACGGTAATGAGCACAAAAAATCCGAAACCTGCCGTAAGAACACGTTGAGATATGGGCCGTGGAGAAAAGTCAGTTCCCCGTTTTAACAGTGTTCCCACGGAAAACCACAAAGTTTCTTTCATTGTGAATTTTTTCTCAGCCCGTGTGTAATCCAACACAAAATACACCAAGGAGACCACGACAGAAGATCCTAGAATAGCCATCCACAGTTCCAGAGAAAAGGGTTTCAGAAATTGGAAGATGGTGTAGTGATCGGCAGGCATGGACACCAGGATGTTGACTCCAGTACTCAAGACTCCTAAACTAAAGTCTATAGCAGCTTCTCTTTGAGACGTAATGGATATAGCTCCCATAGCCAATGTAGCATTCTGAAATAGTAACAGATTTAAATTTAAGCATCACATCACACACATTTATGCATATGTTGTTGTTTTTTTTTTAGATAAAACTGGTACAGCTTAAAATTGATGATGAACATCCTCTATAATTTGAACAAGACCACATTTGGGTCTTCTTTTCTCCTGAAACGAAACACGCCCTAACTATCTCCCACTGTAATATGAGTAAACTTGTCTATTAATATGTTTAATCTAGGCTCTGCCTCCCCTCATAGGCGTACGAGCTGGGGGGCGGCCGCCCCCCCCCCATTTTGGGCACCAAATGCTGGGAAGATTTGGGCACACAATTGTACTTTGTAAAAGTTGTATAAAAAAATATTGTGTTCTTGAATGCGTCCAATTTAACAGCGAATTTAAATTCAGAGTGTCTATAGTTAGGCAATTAAATAGAAATCTTAAGACTCGAACCCTCTATTGTTTGGAGTACAGTAAGCCACGAATTACAGTTACATAAACAACTGTTTTTAGTTGTGTATATTACAAGTAAATAAAATTTAGTTCTCTTTTATTGAGGATTTAGAAATTAAGAACTTATTCATCGCAAAAGAGATATTATGATTATTATGTAACATACTAAGAACCTAACTACATTTTTGGGGCACCAACCACCACCGCCCCCCCAGTAAAAAATTTCACCGTACGCCTATGCCTCCCCTCCCCACACACACGCACAAACCAAACACACCTGACTAATAATGAAACTAAACGAAAATAGTTAACTTCAATTTTTATTGACTCTCTTTATAAATCATAAAATAAGATTGAATAATAGACTTATATAGTAAATTAAAATAAACATACCCCGCTCTTGATTTCACCGACCATACCATCCCATATAGCGCCATATTGGTTATTAGGACTGACATATATTTCGTAATGGAAGTTCAGAGCTGATTGCAAGAGTTTTAACAGATCGATAGTAAAACCTTCATATTCTTCTTCATTATCTCGTTCCATGCTATTAGATTTTGTCATGACAAATGGCTCCTCCTGTAAAATTCAACAAAATTGTTCAACGTTGTAAAGTTCTATCAATATATGAATAGTTTTTCTATCTTATATTTGAATCCTTCCATATGAAGAATCCAGTTTTGCCAATTCATGGTAGAGTTATATTACATATTTTGATATACATGTAATTACTTATCTAAACTGACTAATTGCTTTAAAGTGGATAAGTTAATCTTTACTCCGAACCCTGATCGTTCTAATCCGAACGAACTGAGGCTATTTGCCCAAACATTTTCTTTATCACTCAAATTTTCAGAATGAATCAGTCATTAACTAAAACGAGTTTTCCACAAATGTTATTGCGCGAGGTCTTAAGTAATGTAGTATTCAAAATGTAAATCGCGAGCGATTTCATTTTACAATTATACAATTATATGTCTATGATATATGGTCTTATTCGTTGATGTTTGCGTCCGAAAAACGGTTATACATTACCCGAAACATGGACTGTTCACCGAATCTGCAGCCCCCCCCCCACTCCCTCCCTCCCCGGCTCTTACGTCTATGCCTATCAAGCAGTTCAGTTTAAAATGTTACACATATACTGACAGACGACGGACAGAAGATATAAGTTTGGATGGTTGAAGTGTTATCTGTCGTCAAGGATTAGTATTTAGTGATTTAAATCACAGTCCCATTTACACCGAATCAAATGTAAAGTAGAATGTCTCTTCTGGTGCAATGGGAAATGCATAAATGTCGTGTCAAATACAAATCAATGATTATTACTTTGCCATTCCCATATATGCAAGGCTTCCAAGACGCACACAGTAACGCTACAAATGATTGACACGACGTGACAACAAAGGACCATGCTTGTGATTTATGCCATAATCCAAGCTAGCTTGACCCCCCCCCCCAAAAAAAAAAACAAACAACAAAACCCAACAGCATTATATTCCCCCATAATCACACCTGTACTGCGATTACTGGGTTACGATAACGGGGAAATGATGCCACATTTTCAAACCCCAGGTGATCGGAGACAGTTGATCAAATTTACTTTATGTTTTCGTTCCTTTGAAAGGCCAGTATGTTCTCTAAAAATATTTTCACGATGTGATAAATAGCCAATTACATATTCTTTTCGTTTCAGTACTTACAATAACAACAACCACCTTGACCAATTCCGGGAAAATACCAATCTGAGGTTTTTTATTGGAGTTTTTTACTATTCCCGTTTGGTTTAGCCGGTAATCCGGTGACGTTCCATTAAAACTCCACTCAGCAATCTGAAACATAAGAGGGTGTACTTCAAAACATCTACAATCGATTATATGGTTTTAAACACAGGCAATAAGTCTGCAAATAAATATGCACCGATCTTAATTTCAGTAGGGTTCAGCCTAATAGTCAAAGTTATCTAGTTGCTTAAAGGAATAGGAAGTAATGACATTTTGGATAATTCCAGCAAGTTTGAATATAAAATTCTCCAGTCCATAGAAATAACACCCACGAAACTGGTGGTTTTCTTTGTAAATCAGAGTTGATGCGCGACACCGAATTTCAACATATCTGGACGTATAAAAATCACCGAACTTCGGGTGGAAGCTATAAATGTTCCACCGAGTTCAGTTATCTTTTTTATGCAATAAAGTTCATCTTTATAACTTATCAGCTGGCTTGCAAAATCTCACGAACTTCGAAGTGTAGTTGTGATGCCAGGGCTATAACCTTAAAAACAAACAGCTCAAAGGTCCGACTATTGAACAAAGGATCTGTTAAAAACAATAGCCATAAGAAAGATATAAACATTTATACTCAATTATTCTCAAGTATGGCAACACAAATGTGAATGTGCATATCAATACTGCATTAACTTATAGAAACTGTAAAAAACAAATTAGTGTAGTTACCCTTTCATACATATCCTCGCCACCATGTTTGTAGAGATCTAACGTGTATCCTTCTCGCTGTCCCGTAGCGTTAAAGTGTATTATACCCGTTTTACCATTCTCTAGACTCACCTATGGGTAGATGGTCAAACATATTAATATTACCATAATGTATCCTAATTTTCAAACACAAAAAAACCCGGAAACACGTTTTATGCCAATAAGAAAGTTCACACATCATTGCCTTGGAGACATTATCTACGTTTTAGGCCAAGAACATAATTGTTGGAGAACCCATCTCTGCCCGCCCTCTTTTTATCATTCTGGTTTAGTAAAGAACAGTTCTTTGGTAACACATCTCCCGTAATTCTTTCAGTCTGGAGCCAACCAAATATCGAGCTTTTCCATGTTCGTAATACAGCTATGGTACAATCCTTACCAATGACAGTCAACGCATTCACGGAGAAAGCAGGTGACCAATATCACTGGAATCACATAGAGGAAATATCTAGGATAGCCATGATTCCAAAGTCTATTATAGCTGTAGAGATGACTTACCGATTTCAGAGCTTCTATAAACCTCGCGTCAGAAAAGTTACTAGTGATCTCTTCTTGATCAGTTATATATCTGTTTAAGCCTAGTGTTGTCACTCGTGCTGCGTCTATGGAGGCAGCTTCCATGGCGCTTTGCATGGTTCCGTCATAAGACGGTCTAATGTAGCGGAAAGCAAGGAGTTGACATTGTGCCGAGAACAGACCAAGCTGATACATCTGATTTGCACCAGCAAAGGGTTGAAGATAAGAGCTCTGGAATTTAAAATAATAGACAACAACTTGTCAATGTCATTTATGAATCATAGATAATGCCATAAACAATGATTACTGGGTTAAATTAGGCAAACATCAGTAGGGGCAGATAACTTGAACTTGTAATATTTTCTCCGGGTCCTCCGCCTTCCTCCCACTACTAAAGGCCCCTAAATCAATCTCTCTCTCTCTCTCTCTCTCTCTCTCTCAATTAGTAATGGAACAATTAATCGACAGAAGCACGTTCAAATTACCGAATATTTCAAAATGTATTACATCTGAAAGAAATAACTTTATGAATCACACGAAAAATCTATAAAATGAATAGTTGTACACGATATTGTACTTACTGGGTCAACGAATATAAAATATTGTTTACTCTTCGACAACATATCAAATAATTTTGCCTGCAAATAATAAAGATTAAAATCATTACATAAATCTTATAAGCCATAAACGATTTTGATTGCTGCAATGTAATTAACAATCTCATTACAATTTCGTTTCGTTTATTTTTTTTCTATTTCTTTAGAGCACAATGTAACGAATTCTTGAATCATGATGATTTTCTGCAAAATATCAACAAATGTATTCCAAATGGTTATAACTTTGAACCGCTTCGAATCATTCCCACATACGCAGTGCCGAATTTACCAAAAAGTAATGTCAAAATTAAATGGCCATAATTTCCATTAGGACTGATTGGTTTGAAATTCCTTTGGACAAATGTGCTTTTAAACAGAAGTAGTTTTTATATATGGACGAAAAGTTTGTATTTGTCTTGTTGTTGCCTAGAATATTGTGTCTTTAAGAAAATGCATACTAACACGACTGACCAATCCGATACAAATAAATACAAAATGTAACCAGTACCTCTTTAAGGACTTTTTCGATGAGTTTGTCTCGTTCATCTCTAGGACTACAAACTATGATATGCCTCTGTCTTGAAAGCCGGGCATTTCGCAAAATTTCTTTAATCATAGCTTCTGCTTTATCAGATCTGGCTTCAACAGAGTATGGTATCAAAGACACTTGTTTATTCAACAGCTGACTGGCAAGATCCTGACATTCTAAAAAATGAGAACAAATTTGTCATATGACATATCAGGGTTATTCGGAACACATAGGCAACCAGTCACTAACAGCTGTCATGCAGCTAAAGCGAACTGCCTGGACGCCGTTACATGTCTCCCTGGAACCTGAAATAGTGACGGTTGGAAAACCATACGGACAACCCAACCATATATAGTCACGCGAGTGTGGTTTTTATGTGGATATTGCGAGTGTTGAGTATGATCGCAGCTTGGGTACTATGGGTGTTAAATGCGGAAATGGCCCAACATGTTGTTAACTCCCATGAGTCTCTGTCAGAGAGCAATACAAACAATGGGCAAAGTGCTAAATTCATATTTGAATCAGCGATACAATTTATCATACTGACCCATATTCCCATAATACCAATTTATATAATTATATATAGATTGGTGTGAAGAGTTCGCAACGGTAGGGACACCGATTCATTTAATTTCAACTAAGTGCAAAATACATATATCGCTAGGGAACAGTATGATTTGAAATCATGTGTATTGGTTCATCAGAGTAGATGATCGTATAATAACGGTCAGTATCGATTCTATTTGGAAACATGATTCCTATAAAGAGGACTGACCACGGTGACGAGAATAAACAAACATATTAACCACCATAGTGTTTTGGTAATACAAAAACAATAGTTTATATCATGAACGAATGTTGGGTAACATAACATTTTATTAACCATCAACACGAACTATAAGTCACACAAACAGTACATGAAATTAGGCATCTATATCATTACAGGCAATAAGTCAAACAAAAAGTACATGACTTATACAGGAACCTTTTAAGCAATGATAATCAGCAATTTTTGCTTTTATACAATCGGTAATAGCTGTAATGGTTGTATACCACTAGCAGTAATAGGTGACATCTTTATAAACTTTTGCACAATAATTGGGTAGTTTGCTAATTGTGTTTGTCGAAGTTTCAGACACTGGAGTGCTGGCTTGATTATTTTAAAACTTGTGTTTGTTCTTTCGGTCATTTATTTTCTGGTTTTCTACTTGTCTTGTTGAATGTGTGTGTGTGTGGGGGGGGGGGGCTTTGCAACAGTGCGAGCTAATCGGGTAATGGATACAGATTTGTTCCACTAGTTGGGTATCCAAAAAAGAATCAGGCCAGACCAATATAAATTATAAATAGCCCATGTACATGCTGGCCAGCATGATTACGATATATCAGTAAACTGGTTTAATCAATAACAACAGTAATCAAAAACGATATTTCTCCAGACGAAAAATAGTCGAAGTTTTGAATATTCTTTCAACAAAGAAGTTCCAAAATGTCTTCACGAGCATAAACTAGGGGGTTCTGTAGTTGACTAGAATTAATGCGCCGCGAACAGAAAGCGGTTTTATGTAAAGGTAAGCCAATTATTGCCATCACTTGAAATTGGGTTTAAGGTCTTACTTTTCGGCATCAACTGGGCTAATGAAGATGGGTATCCCTCGCAAGACAGTTATCATCGACATATTACATAAGAACGGGCGTAGTTTTGGAGATGTTATTAAACTTAAAGGACAATTTTGGTGCCAGTCATTATCACATATGTGATAGAGCTGGTTAAACACGTTCCATATATAATTTTAACACAGAGATCATTGCTACGATAGCTGAGTAATACAGGTTTCCTGAATCGGAAGTGACGAACGCCAAAGGAAAACACGAGTCATATCTCTATATAACTGACTGATGTGACGAGTGATAACGGATATAAGGGCGAATTTCTGCTCACTAATAATTTCTTCGAAGACCAAAAGTTGTTGTGTGAGATTGTGAGACGATATCTGACAATTCATAAAAAGAATTGACTTCCACTAGATAAGTGAACATGAAAGAAAAACAGAAAAAGTCCGTGCATTACCATGATTTTATAAGGTTTTGAATGAATATAAACAAGGAAATGTACGGACTATTTCTATTTTTCTCGTGTTCTCTTATCTCATGACATTCAATTACTTTATTGAATTGTCAGGTATCCTCTAACAGTCCCATATAACAACTTTTGGTCTTCGAAGGAATTATTAGTGAGCAGAAATTCGGCCGTGTATCTGTTATCACTCGTCACATCAGTCAGTTATATAGAGAGATGACTCGTGTTTTCCTTTGGCGTTCGTCACTTCCGATTCAGGAAACCTGTATTACTCAGCTATCGTAGCAATGATCTCTGTGTTAAAATTATATTTGGAATGTGTTTAACCAGCTCTATTTCATATGTGATAATGACTGGCACCAATATTGTCCTTTAACTAGTGCCGTGACAATAGTATATCAAAATGCCTACCCTGGTTGTCTCTGGGTTGTCCAGGCATAACCATAACAGCACTGTCCCATTCATTTACACTAAACAGATCTACGACAGCTAAATTCTGTTCTTGGGCTGGTGGACGAATCTCTACGATAGTCTTCCATTTAACTCGGTCTTCTACTCGACTCATGTCAATCCAATCAAAACCTTTATAATCTGTCACGAGATAGGGTATGCCTTCCCTTTCTAACATCATAGCTAAATTCGTATAAAAGGGTCCGATGATGAGATTAGGTCTGGTACCGGCTCGCGTTCCTTGAGACAACGATGCTGTGAACAAATATATTATAAAGAATAAATAAATACAATGTATAAAGCCTTTTTTTGAAAGACTTTAACTTTCCAGTCATTTGATTGGCTATATAATCAAGTTCAAGGGTATCATTATGTTTTAATTCTTAAAAATGCCTTTAAATGTTAAATTTAATGCGACGAAAATAACATCTACATTTAATTAAATTTACTGGGTATGTTTTAAAGCATATCTTGTAATATGCATGACACCCTTCACTACTTTTAGTTAACTGGAACCATTTTTGGTCCTAGATTTCACAAGCTACTGGGTTAGAAGATACCCCCGGGGCCAACGGCCACTAACAGAGCTATATGCCCAGTGGTTCAAATACTCAAGTACAAGATTGGTGGCTGAATGATATCATGTCGTGATGTCGTATTGTCGCTCTTCATTAGGCGACAACCCGACAGCGCGACATCACGACATTTTAACCCGACACCACGACAACCCGTCATCACGACATTTTAACCCGACACCACGACACCGTGATTCCTCTTTGACATTGGTGCAGGACGTGGGGCCTGGCAAGGGATAACGTAACGTCGTTCGGCGACAATCGGACAACCCGACATCACGACATTTTAAACCGACACCACGACAACCCAACATCACATTCCTCATGATTTTCGACTTAGAATAATTTTGATAGAGTCCGATTGGTGCAGAAAAGTAAGAAAATGAAATGAAATGAAACGGGGTTTAACGTCCTACTGTTGTGCTCTGGGAGCCACGGTGGCTAAGTTAGTAAGACGCTGGCTCGCTAGCCTGGTGGTCGGGGGTTCGCTTCCGGTCATGGCCGAGAAAGTCCATCGAAAATTTCCAGCATGGTTACCCTTAGTCAAGGGTGCAGGAAGGAGGGCCTAACAAGGGCAGCTGTCTAATCATTTGGATGGGTCGAAAAACCGAGGTCCGTGTAAATATTGGCATGCACGTAAAAGATCCCTTGGCAGTTGGAATTCGATATAAGAATAGGCCGTAGCGTCGCCGTAGCGCCATTAGAACGCAATAATCGTTAATCCAATTTCATCCTTAAATACAGCACGAAATAGAACCATTATATTTCTTGTAAAAATGGTTATTATGAAGTTACTTGTGAGTTCAAACATTTGATTGCCAAAAGTGAACAACCAAACAAACAAGCAAACAAACGTTCTCTTTTATATACTGGTTTTTATTAACATGCAAGTTATAATGTGCTTTAGTAAAAACTTACTAAACTTACCTTGAACAAGCAATGACATGGAAAAATGGTTGCGAATCGCTTAAATGTATTTTATCATTTGTACGTTGGAAAAAATCCAACAATACAACCTAATATTTATTAATTTCAGTAACTTGGCAAACCTCACAAAACCCCTTTAAAAATAAACAATTTATATGAATTGTTAGACTGGTAAAGTTGGTGTTGATTTATTCATATGTAATGGGATCCGTTTGATTGGGTTTTGTTTACATGTACTCGAAGAATCCAATAAATTAATTAATTTAATTGTCTGTGAAAATCAGCGGAATTTCTACATGACTTGAGTCAATATTACACATAAAAATAGTATTTAAGAGTTTGTTAAATTGATACATCGCGTGTAACGTTTAGCACCATACGAATAGATTTGTGTGTTTTATGGGTAAACATTGAAATATGGATCTTTTCAATTTGTAACTGAATGTAGATTATGTGTCTGTTAATAAAATAAATGGGATGGGGTTGAATGTCCGCTCGACTATCACGGTCTCAAAGTAAATAGATAATACAGAGAAGACCGTGAGCTTTGGGTGTCTGTGTGAGTATGTGTGGGGCGGGTGGTGGGGGAGATACATAGCGACACTCATAGTGTACAAGGTTCAAATTCCCGGTGGGTTCAGTAAGGATCATTCATGATAATTTCTAGACATATTTTCCGGTAATTCCGACTTGGAAAATCGATGACCCACGCCGAGATTCGAACCCGGGACATTCTACTGTTCCAGCCACACAACCACTGCGGTCCCCACCAACATTCGAACAATACCACTAGGCATCAAACATGGTTTAATATCTCTTAGTAAATAATATAAAATACAAACCAACAGTGAGGCTGATGTCCTCCGCCGAAATTATAAAATAAATAGATGACACATATTAATTAATCTCACATTTATTTTTTTCAAAAGTATTAAGCAATCAAACTGATTATTAACTATACACTAAGTTTCATTACTCTCTATCAGATAGAATCAAAGTTATCTTGCCCCAAAGCATCGACCAATGAAATTGCTTAGCCCAGCCTAGCTTTAGCTCGCAGTGTTAATCATTGAACTCAGCCAAGACATTCACATGAACATCTTCCTCAAGTTTAAACATTCTACCTCAATTAAAAGCAGGGTTGATACGTTCCAATGTCTTGATCAATCAAGGTGCTGATCGTTCCTTAGTCAAGGTAATGATCAATCTGAACGACAGACCCACCCTAGCTACCATTTAATTTCGTACGTTAGTTACGTACGTACGAGTAATGATATAATGAATCTATACTCGTAGTTTCTTCACTCTCACTTAATTATAACCAAAGTTATCGTGCCCCAAAGCATCAACCAATCAGATTGCTTATCTCTGCTTACAGTAAGCAGACAATGTTTTTAATCGCAGTCTATCAAGGCATTCACCTAATGAACACCTACACCAAGTTTGAACATTCTACCTCAATTAGAATGAGAGTTATTATATTCCAAAGTCTTGACGAATCAAATTGCTTATCGCTCTGCTTACCCTGAACAGAAAATGCTCATTATCGAACGTAATCAAGGTATTGATGTGATAAAACTATACACCAAGTGTCCTCACTCTAACTGAATTAGAACCAAAGTTATCGTGTCCCAAAACATCAACCAATCAAACTGCTTATCTCTGCTTACCCTAAGCAGAAAATGCTCATCTTCGAACTCCATCAAGGCATTCACCTAATAAACACCTATGACAAGTGTGAACATTCTAGCTCAATTAGAATGAGAGTTACTGTGTTCCAAAGTCTCGACCAATCAAATTGCTTATTCCTCTGCTTACTCTGAGCAGAAAATGCTCATTATCGAACTTAGTCACGGTATTGATGTAATAAAACTATTCACCAAATTTCATCACTCTCACATAATTAGAACTAAAGTTATCATGTCCCAAAGCATCAACCAATCAAATTGCTTATCTCTGCTTACCCTAAGCAGAAAATGTTCATCTTCGAACTCCATCAAGGCATTGACCTAATAAACACCTGCACCAAGTTTGAACATTCTACCTCAATTAGACGGAGAGTTATTGAGTTCCAAAGTCTCGGTCAATCAAATAGCTTATCGCCCAGCTTACTCTAAGCAGAGAATGCTCATTATCGAACTTAGTCAAGGTATTGATGTAATGAAACTATACACCAAGTTTCATCACTCTCACTTAATTAGAACTAAAGTCATCGAGTCCCAAAGCATCAAACGATCAAATTGTTTATCTCTGCTCATCTTCGAAGACGGACTGACAGACAGACAGACAGACGGACGAACCCATTTTAATAGTCTCCTATTTTCTTCGAAAGGCGGGAGAGAAAAACAAATAAATTTACATTACCTTGTTCCATTCCATTTTTAATCCACGTCCAACCCTTTTTGTCCATACCAAGGGAATCATGAACTTTCAACTTGAGATAATGAGGAGAAAAAAAACATTTTCCAACTTCTCCAGTGAGAACGACATTTTTCATCAGAATTCCTTCTTGTTGGGTTACATTAGAGTTATTATCATCAGCAAGTAAAGCTGCAATGGAAAAGTATAAACTTGGGAATTCTAATAGGTCCCGCGTAGTTAATTTAATGTTTCTGTTTTGTTATAAGACGAGATATCTGTGCTGTCTAAAGGGATAAAATGTTAAATAAAAGTCAAGATAAATTACCAGACAACGAAACATACGCCCACATCAGCTAAATCGTCCGTGCGGTCGACAAGTGGTGTCACATATTTATTCTTTTGTAAGTAATATTGGCTTGTACAAGACAATTTAATACAGTTCAGATAATAATTTTCATCGTTTGAGGGTTTACAAAATTCTACAAAATGTAACAAGGGCCTTAAAGGGCCAATTCCGATTATATTTTGGTGAATAAAACTGCTTAATTTTGTGTTAAAATCCCTTAAAATCCATCTACCGTAGAGCCGAGCAACTAACTTATACGTTTTCAAACAACTTAAACCCGCCAGTCTTCATCTGGAAATGTAGACCGGTATCCCAAGCAGTATTATACTGTGTCTGGATAAAAGGTGAAATGTACCTTTCGTTACCATGTCCAGCACATGGGTCTTGCACTGTATAGACTTCTAAAGGAACGGCAATCGATTATCAGGTCACCCAACGAAAAAAATTGGCCCGAAATCTTAAACGGGTTACCTGTCCGGATAAGCGATTTTGATGTTTACGTCCAAACGATTCAATGTTTTGAGCTGAAATTCTGAGACAAGGTAAATACACCATATGTACACGAACTTTTGAGACTCTGTTCAAATCGGGATAGTCCCTTTAACTGTGTAAGTAATTAACAGAAATTATTGAAATTCAATAGACTTGTTCTTTTAACTAATTTAAATGATGCATATCAATCTCATACGGATGATAACTTTTGTCGGTCGAGCATTCATGAGGTTTAACAAAGTGAAACGAAGTCATAACTCTAAAATTAATTAACAGAAATTACTGAAATTCAAAATGGAATTTGCTGAAATGCAATAGGTTTCTTCGTTTCGCTAATTTAAACGATGCATATAAATTTCATACTGATCGGATAACTTTAGCCATTATTAACGGAAATTGCTGAAATTGAATAGGCGTCTTTGTTTCACTAATCTAAATGTTACATGTAAATTTCATGCCGATCCGATGATACATGTAACTTTTGTCGTAAGAGCGTTCACAAGGTGCAACAAAGTGAAACAAAGGCCATATCTCTCCAGAGGAAATTAACAGAAATTATTGAAATTAAATAGGATTCTTCATCTCACACAACACAAAACAATCAGATGATAAATGTTGTCTGTAGAGTGTTCACAAGGAAGTTTGGACGACGGATGGACGGACGGGGTCGACGACAATATACGACCACATTTCGATGTGGGCGTATAAAAAAACACACATAACCAATGTCACTCTTACGGGTCAAAATATTATTTACATCAATACATTAGAACTGAAATTATGGCTATTTGAAGTTTACATCAATTTTCATTGTTTAACACAGCCATCTACATGTATCTGACTGAAATCAAGTATTACTAATTCCACTATATTTTCCATACAAGCCAATTATTTGTCTGTCTTTGGGTATACTTAATATGATTAGAATCGTTTGCAGTATTTTTAATAAAATAGCATAATTCTGATATTTGGGCATCATGGCCGCTGACTTTCTACAAACATAAGACTGTTTTTATGTGTTGATATCTGCTGTTAGATGACAATTTGTCTTTGTTGAAAAGTTTACGTCTAAAGATAAAGTCAAATTTCAAATATAACCGTTTTGTGTTCTAAGCTCGACACAGATCAGTCCAATTCAATACCCTAATAAAATAACCATTTTAATAAATATAACAAAAAAATAATATTAAACAGCATTACCTATAGTAAGTCTGTGCCGTTTGCCATTCACTGTTCTTTTACATCGTGTTTCTATCTCAGGAATTAATGTAGAAACAACCAGACCGATCGCAATCCAAGTATAAAACAATTCACTAGTCAACATTTTAAAAGTTACCAATATACTACAGGTCAATCACCGAACACAAATCACCTATAAATAACACGAAACCTTAAAACGTTCACGTTCTTGGACTGTTCTAGTAAAGTTTCTGAATAACTCGGTCAAACTATATATTTCAGTTACTATAAAACGTTCGCATAATATGCGCTTTAAACCATACCATGATTGCTTTCATCTTCACTATTTCCAAGAGAATTCATTAATGCGAACAAGTGAATAATTCTGTCCACACATCTAGAATTTAGAGTCGCCACAAAGGCAACACTCGATTTTGTAGAGGAGATTGATATGAACAATTTCTAAGTAATTAGTAAAGAATATATCTAAACACCTCTGTCTAGTTGATAGTTTCATTACATGAGGGAGCGTTGGGTTTCAATTAGTTGATTGCTATTATAATACGATTTTCTGGCTACTCAAACAGCAAGTGCCATGTCCCCAGCGTCGCAACCTTCACGTCTGCAATATGAAAGATGAATTTACAACTCTCCTGTCTAGTGTCGCTTTACCATATTTTTCATCTGTAAAGTAGATGTGGTTTATTTGTCGAAGGGTCGTACCATTAACAAAATATCCATTTATTAGTGTAGTTAGCTCCCAATCGTTAAAGCCATCTGTGAGCCGTGTTTCATTGGATAATATTCGTCGCCATTAGAAGCTTATCTGAACCTGGGGTGAGTAATATCCGATGTGGCTCATAAATGGCTGGCAGACAAACTGGTAAGTGAACCATTTTTAAAGTTATAGATTTATATTTTCAGAAAAAAACAGGCCATTAACGTATCCTGCAAACCGAAAATACTTACATACTATAAATGGCTTCCATGCCAAGAATATTATGCTACGGTAATTTCTCCGTGTTTGGTATCTTGAATGAGTGCGCCTTATATTTAAAAGATAAACACGAGATTCTTTAGTTGCATAAAGCTTTTCAAAATCAGAAGTTTTTCAGTTTATTTTCAGTTTGTACTTCATCTTAATTATGTTTATCTCATCCCACTGAGTTTTATTGAACCGTAGAAAATCATATGCATAACACGAAATATGTAGCTTTAATTAGATTGTAGTCACAGAAAATATACTTTTTGAACTAGTATAGGAATTGATGTTATACACTTGATAATCTTCTATTCTTGTTCTCGCCAATAACGCCTAATATAAGCTCAGCCATTTCGAGTACATTGGCATCCAAATTAAATAACAAGGTGCGCTTCAATTGACGTACTCATATGAATGACATTTCCAAGATGCCTGTTCCTGAAATTGTTAATTTGTCGGTCGCACTTGAATTTTGTGAAGAAGCTTCAAAGAATTGGGCACAGAATGGGGTATGTCCGTCTTTAACGGTTGAGGCCGAAAAAAAGGAAGACGTGATTATATGCATAAAGAAACTGGACAATTAGCCCCCCCCACTCCTAATAAATTTATTATTTTATAAAGACACATCCTTATACATTGCGCAATAAAATATACGTTCGACAAGAAATGACCACTGCTAATTAGGAGATACCGTGTCCTAATTAGGAGAAACTAAGGCCTAATTAAGAGATAGTAATTCATAATTAGGACTTAGCATATTGTAATAAAAAGAGCAGCCAAGTTTCCAGAAAACGATAGTCATAGACAGCAGCTTATCCGAAAAGAAAATTTGGATCTAGACCAAACTTGATAAGGATCCTGTTCACAAGCTTGACAAAAAGCACGTTAAATCTGTAGCCTCTATCGCGTTCACAGGGTTTCCGGAAAAAGGGGGTAACATCACACAAATTCTATCGCTTCCACATGGTCTTCGCAAAACGTGGGTAACTGCGCAACAGACGGTTGCGGAATGGTAAATATCTAAAGGGTTCGTCCTCTTATAACATCAACGCGTCACTCCATATATGGGAAAAAATCCATTAAAAACTGTAATCTTTATTGCGTTCAAAATGTTTTTGGCAAAGGGGTGTGTTGGGTAGGGTAACTCCGTGCCGAAAGATTGCGTAATGCTAAATATCGATATGGTATGGTCCTCGAATAATCCCAATAATTCAGATTTGAAAAGAAATGAACGGAAGGCCACGGACCGCTGAATGACTCCAGTACTTCACGACAAATTAAAAATTAATCCAAACTGTAGCCAATATCGCGTTCACTAGTTTTACGACAAGGGGGTTTAACGTCCACTCGACACAAATTAGTCATTTCGGGAATAACATATGTTCAATTTTATTTCAATAATTCGTTTGCGAGTAGGGGTCTTTAGCAGTTGGAGGAAACCAGAGGACCCGGAGAAAGCCCACGAGGTTCGACACTGTCGAGGAACGTTGAATATCAATAGTCTCCATCTTCTCATGGCCCCTTCGCTCACACCAAATTTGGAAAAAATTAAGCCCTAAGTAGGGGGCGATAAGTCTAATTAGGAGATAGTATGCCTTAATTAGGAGATAATAAGTCCTTATATCCGTGGGGATCACGTGGCTAAGTGGGTAAGACACTGGCTCGCTAGCCTGGAGGTCGGGTGTTCGATCCAGATTTTCCGGCGTGGTTTCTCCTTGACAGTGATGCAGGACGGAGGGCCTGACAAGGACAGCTGTCTAGTCGTTCGGATGGAACGAAAAACCGAGGTCCCGTGTAGATATTGGCGTGCACGTAAAAGATCCCTTGGCAGTTGGAATTCGATATAAGAGTAGGCCGTAGCGCCGCTACCCGGTCAAATTTCCCTCATAGCATACTGTATGGCGTATGCCCGTCTTCATTAGCCCAGTTTAGGAGCAGAACAGTAGGACGTTAAACCCCATTTCATTTCATTTCATTTCCTTATATCGGTACAATACTCCAACAAGGTTTGTCGCTTGTGGTTTAGAATGAGACCAAAACCAAATGAATTGATCTATCTATATATACAACCTTTGCTTGTGGATGAAATGAAAAATCGAGGTCTACTACATATTGGCGTAAATAAGTATTTACAGTTAATGAAATTCAAAGGCTTGGCGACGCAAATAATCCATTAATATATGGCGTCATTATAGAATGATGTCATATACAATTCAAACAGAAATGATTTACATCATTCCATATACATTTGTATAAACTTCTCATATTTCACGACATAATGATATACGCTTAACTTCAACTGGGAACCATAAATTGACCGCATGTATGAAGTTCTAATGCAAAAGGGGCATTTATTTATTGTCACCACGTATGGTTCGATACACACACTATTATAGTTTATCTACAAATAACATTTAATATATCATGAAAAAATTGGTCATTAACCATAACAGTTAAATAGCGCCATGTGACTGGGTGATCGTGTTAACTATGGCATTATGTTAGCTGACGTCAAAGGTGCGATTACTTTTGAAAAATTAAGGGGCAGTAGGCTCACAGAGGCACACCGCTAAACGGTATTTGGTGTTTGTGGTGCCATTTGTCACACAAATAATAGCTGATGCATTTATGTTATCATAAGACCCCCTTTCCCCATCTCTGAAAAAACTCCTAAAAGCAAAACAACTCCTCCGCAGCCAAAAAAAAAAGACACTCCCCCCCAAAAAAAACCAAAAAAAAAATACAACAAAAAACCCCAAACAAACAAAACAATACATGAGTCAGAATAAGGTATATTGTAAAATGAAAGAACTTTCAATAATTTCCTAAACCATAGATAACAAAACACACAATATTTATTTGATATTTGAATTGCCACAGTCTTTCTTCAGCACAAGGGAATATGGAATTGCTTATATCACTTGGTGCCCTGATATGGTTTATGACCTATATACCAACCAATGGAGCGCATGAATACAAGATCCATGCCAGTAAGTATGAAATATCAAAACAAAATGTTGAAACCAGAGATATCGTCCAGAAAGCTGATAGAGTATTTCTTAGTATCGAGAGTCTAAAAACGCATTTATATTCGCAATGAACATACAGATCACAATACCTGTGATTTTCAAGGCATTTAAACACGATCGTCAGTTAATAATTCAGTTCGTTCATTATCGTAACAACGGTAGCAATAACAATCGAGACCATAATCAACTCTCGGTGGCATCGGATACTCGCGATATTAACTCGATTAGAACGGTTCGCTATTTAAAAATATAATTCAAAAATGGGAAAGCGAGACTATGTCGCGAATATACCAGTGCGCTAGTTACCACTATGCACACATCTTGTCAAAACAATAAACAGTGATAATTTGGCTCAGAATGAAGTAATTTGGCTGAAATTTTCACTATTTTCTTTTTTATCATCTATTTTTGAATTATTATAGCAAGAATGACCAACTCTTAATTAAACTCTTAACTAATGTTTCTTTAAGGGGTTAGAATACAGTTTAACAAAGGTCCTTTAAGCTGATAATTGACTTCAATACTAAATATTGTAAATTTCAGGTGTAATGGGCCGACCTGGTTCTAATGATATTCAACTGTACAGAAAGGTCGCTGATATAATGTTCCGGGAGGATGTACCACATAAAGGAAGTATCAATCATTGCGCTATCAACTTTAAAGAATTTACTTTTGATATGACAAATGGATCGACAGTTTATGATAGCCTGACCACTGGTAACTATTATACTCCGTAAATAAGTAATGACCAATACTAAAAATACAATTATCTTATAACAATCTCGGTAAATTATCCACTAATGGTGTAATCATAAAGTTCGTTGTCTCGTTGAATGGCGATTGATTTTGCAAGAATTATTTTATTATTGAGAGAAAAATGCCGAGAGTTTCCATTTGGTAGTAATTGAAAATATAAATTTATGGTTTATTCCGTCAGTCCAATACAATAAAAAGACTAGCTAAAGTGCACATTTCGTTTATAAATTTTCAAATGTTTTCTTGGGTATTTAAACTATTGATTAAAGTGTTTTGATATTGTCTTTTGGGCTACGATATTTGTAGATATAAATGAAATATCGTTCAAATGTCGGCTAATGATCTCATGAAAAAGCAAGATGGGAGGATTAAAGATGCATTATGGGAGATTAGATAAAGAGCTGGGAGTTAAAAAATATATAATGTAAAGTGAATTTGCTGAAAATTTCAGTCAAATTGATCCACTCTGGACCGAGATTTTAGCGATTGAATTTTCGGCCTAGCCTCGATCTTCATACTAATTCAGTACGATAAAAACATAGTCTCGATTATCCATTTCATGATTAAATCAAGAATGAAAGTTTAGCAGCAAATCTGATCGTAATCCAATAATATCGCAGGCTATGGTCCGGATAATTTAATTAGTGTCTAATTAATAATTTAGATAACATTTCAGGCCTAAAGAAAGCCCTGCAATAGGCAGATTTAGCTCTTCAAAAATGCATGTTTAAATCAGTGGAACGTAAAGGGTTCTTTAGAGGGCCACAACTTCCACTGGAGTTGAACTATATTGGACCATTATGCTTTTTTGTAAGACTACGTTTTATCTGACGTAGAAAAAACAATCTTATGGGAACTTTAGGACTGACATGTTTTATATTTTGGTTGTGTGGGTATGGCGAGTGGGAGATGTGTGCTTTGTGCGTAAGAATTTCTTTTTTCATTGTGTATGATCTAAAAGTATTATATTTACCATTTTAGTTTGGAATATTGTTCCTTTAATGATATCTGTTTTAATGCTGTATTTGGGTGTTTAAGGGCAAAGTAAAGTGACAAATATTATCACAACACCTGAAATAGGAGGGGGGGGGGGCTAAAAAAACAAACCTTTCACAACATTTGTAGTGCCTGTATTTTCGTATCTAAATGTGCTTGAGATACTGGAAATAAAAATAATGACTTTGGAATTTATAACTCTGGAATTTATAACTTTGGAAAATATGAAGCAAATATATCATTCAGCACGGCGCAAGGGACTGCTTTCAGACTTTTTGTATGGTGTACCATTATAAACAGCATCTAGATGAAATATTTCGGGTCTATATGGCAAATAATAAACACTGCATCAGTATTTCCTTCAAACTCCTTTTGTTTTCAGCTATTTTTATAGGCCTAATGAATACACATTGCTAACATTTTTATGACTTCTTTTAATTCACCCTTCGAAACTTTGTGCCTGGAAGCATAAAGATACACTGACAATTAAAATTGAACATACGCATTTACTAAAATATTTTGTAATACATTTTATTCAATATTTATTCACGCTCATCACTGTGTTTAATCTTTGTTAAATTGTACACTATTAGTCCACAACTGAATGTGGAAATGTCCAGCTGAATGTTTAATTGGAACATGGTGTGTTGCAAATGCTACTCCATAAAAAAAGAATTTGCGATACAAAAACTATATTCCGGTTGCAAATTCTCTACCAAACCCTCAAAATGCTTATCATTCTAACATAAATGAATAATAATCTATCCAAAATTTACAAACGAGCCTTTTTGTTAACATTTACCAACACTTGACAACGGCAGCCATGATAGCTTAGATTTTGACAGTTCTGTTTTCATCAATTTATAAAACGCTCCATATGAATAATGTTGATATTAAAAGATGTGACAGTTCTTGCAAATGATGGTCAATAGTCTATTATATTACGATTCAACGCCTGATTTATCGATAATTGTGATAGTATAAGTCACAAAGTATTTACTAAATCTTTATTTACCTTTCTGTGTCGAATTGCCGCTCAACGGAAGTGTTGATTACGACAATAACTTCTTGAATAATTTATTTTTTAATATTATCAAATCACGTAAATGACACCTCATTTGTATTCGGATATTAATTAATCTTAGTTCGCAGTTGTTTAAATTTAAAATAGAAACATTTGTAATTAAAATTAACACTTTGCTCATTGATATTAGCAGAGGGTCAAGGACGTTAGACGTTCGGGCGCGAAGTAAACATCGTTCACAATGTTTACGTTTATAAAACTGTGAAGTGTTATATTGCTAAACGGAATACGGCATATCGATATAATTTTCTGGTAAACGCTGTCAGTTCAACGAGTATTCGCATCGCTCGTATATGAAGGGTCATTTTCAAGATTGAAAAAAAATGGCGGTCCAAAACCGCGTGGTGGCAAGGACGCGGAAATCTCGCGCTACATGGAAACAGTAAAGCAACTCAAAAAACTAAGACTCGACTACTGTACTACATAGATCAGAGTATCAATAGAGAGATAATAGCTGTCCCCAATCTTTATCGTTTTGTCTATAGGTGTAACCGCGATTGGGGAAGAAAGTGATGAAATTGAAATTTTCATTTACACACGGATGTACGATTTAAAGGGGTATTGACATTGAAATAGTGTATTGTGAGTAATATAGTTTATTTTGGTCTTTTGTATCCAAGGGCCACTATTCTGTGTTGGAAAATAATATGTTCAGCCTTGCCGAGACTAGTTTGCAACAAGGTGGTGTCACTTTACCTTGCCCTAAACTTCTGATTCTACACTAGGACACGGCTTATTTGTTATAAGTTCATCATACATTTTCATTATCTTTTTATTAGCTCGCAGTAATTTTGAAAGTAAAGATGTTGCGGTGGCCATTGGACCAGCCATTGATGTTTTCACGTCTACAGAATACGTCATACTGAACCAGGTTCATTTGTTGACGTCACCAGCCAGCGAAAGCTCCAGTAGAGTCATTTCTGTCCTGCCACAGGCGAACTCTATGTCCGCCGCCATTGCTGACATTGTCACTAAACTGGGATGGAACAATGTCGCCTTACTTGCCCAAGGTTTGTAAGATTTAAGATGTCACCCCCCCCCCCCACCAACCAACACACCCGCATAACGTTTATTGGACATACGTTTAGTAAGAGACCTCAACAAATCGCAGAAATATTAATAAGCCTTTGTTTGTCTGGCTTAATTATTTCACAATCTAATTTGGACATGTCAGATGTAATATACCACGCTCTGCTTGGTCACCCGTTAGAGGCCATTTCAGGATGGGCTCCCTGCACAAGAATAACCGAAAGTTATATTTTACGTCTTGGGGGAGATTGATATTAAAATATATATGTATGCATGTGATAAGTATTTTACCATACATGCGAGTCATTGTGCCAATGTGGGAATGGTTGGATTAGAGTCTAAAGACATTTCTTCACAGAGAGAAAGAGAGAAATGAGGTTTAACGTCCACTCGACACAAACTAGAACATTTCGGGACTAACCATGGTTCAATTACATTTCAATAATTCGCTTGTGCGTAGGGGTCTTTAGCAGTGGGAGGAAACCGGAGGACCCGGAGATAACCCACGAGGTTAAACAGGCGACCCTACTCCTTGTCACGTACAACCAGAGTGGAAGTTTTAGTTGTGCGCAGAATTAGCGATTTCAATAATTCGCTTGTGCGTAGGGGTCTTTAGCAGTGGGAGGAAACCGGAGGACCCGGAGAAAACCCACGAGGTTAGACAGGCGACCCTACTCCTTGTCACGTACAACCAGAGTGGAAGTTTTAGTTGTGCGCAGAATTAGCGTCAAAGTTATTCCTACCATTCAATAATCTGATTAAAATACAGATCTATACTTCGTTTCTTTTTTTTTATACTTTCGATGGAGATCTGGCCGGTTGTAGTGGGAGGTTGCGTCATAGGTCATACGAGCGTTGATGTTTCTAGTGAGATACCCACAGTTCTGTGCACCGCACGCCAAGACTCGCCGCAACAGACCGCTTCATTGACTAATCCCTCACATCAACCAGAACGCGAGTTATAATAATACAAGCTCTTCCAGATCCTTGTGTAGTAAAGACAAGTAAAACGAAATTTTGAACTACATGTATAAAAAACTGTGTTTTAACCAGATTGGCCAATCCAAATTTGCGATGAGAATATTCTGCAAAATCTTTTGCAAGGCTTTGATTAACGAGACATGAAAATTGATTTAGGTGAAGGTTTGAAGTATTTATTATGCTGTCGTCACTGCATCCAATGAACCTGTCTTTAGATGTTAATGTAGTCACCAGCCAAATACACGGAAGAAAAATAACATCTAATTTTAATTAAATTGCCATACATTTCTTGTAAATACGTTATCAAATCTTTTTTTACTACTTCAATTCAATTAGTGTTGATTTGAGCGCCCGAGAAAATCAATCACGAACATGCCGTTTGTTATTTACTTTGTCAAATATTCTGTTTACATAATCTCATTTCTTCTTCACGTTCCTTTTTCTTTGCCTGTTTTTTCTTTAAACAGACGATTTCTCGCCAGTTTTGACCCTTGGTACTGCCGGTATAAAGGTTTGGCCAATCAGACTTTCTCCAAAGATATCATCGGAAGACGATCGCGAATTACAGAAGAATTTGATACAGTTGCGATCTTCACAAAATGATAAATTTATTCTCCATTCCAACAATCGAGAAGTTATTCGCTCTGTTATGGAAGCCGTGAGTTCATTGTTTTTTCTTTTATGATACTATCCACATTACGAATATTTGTTTCCATCAAATATATGCATCATAAATTCTGACTGGTACAATGGTGATGTATATTTATTTGTATGTTTGATGAGTTCAAATAGACAAGTCTCCCCAAGGGAGAGTTAATGGCATTTTGTAGCAATAAGATATTATATTGCCTCTCCTCTTTTTTTACTGCACTTTTACGTTCTCTGAAATTAATCACTTTTATTCGATCTCTCATGTGAACTTTCGATTTTTAAAAAGCTATTAGATAATGTCAGACTGCTCGATTAGATCGTTTTTTGTGATTGAAATTTCGTGTTAACCCGGTCACTAAAACAGATCCGACATTTCGTTCAGGCAGTTTTGATTTTGTTATAAAAATACAATGTTGATATGAAAATAATTTATTAGATTATTATCTTGGACATTTGATAATTCCAGATATCCAATATGATTATATTTATTCCATATAGCGTCATAAACAATATTTATTGATTAAATCGAAAAGGTTATAGAAGATAATTGGTTTCGTCTATGCCTCACATTTCACATGATAAATCGCTAAGGAAAATGATAAACTATTTTATCATCGGCATGTAACCCTAATAAAGTATTTGACCATTATTTCAACGGAATAGCCAAAATATCCTTTTATAATTTTAACTTTTATCCATAACTCAAGTGTGGATCCAGAAATTCTCCCAAACGGAACATATTAATTCTTTGACTTCGCTTCGTCGTTCCCCTTCCCCACCCTTCTCCACCATCAGAACAACCAAGACCACGCCTGACACGTTTTTAAAGTAAACATTCGCCTATGTACCATATGCCGACGATAAAGTTTTGAGAAGAGGAAACTAAGCCTTAATCATAACTTTATCCTAATTTCAGGCCAAACGACTCCACCTCTTGCACCATTCCATTGATTGGTTTGTTACATACCCGGTAAGTTTCAAGTTATGCGTTGTGTACAATAATGCAAAAATAGAATACAATTCAATAAACATGATACAATTTGTTCTAGATGGGAGTAGCTGAAACACGTCGGATATAGAACACGGATATGTTCATGAATCCATGAAGGATTGCACAGAAAACCAGTTTACGATTGATCAGTGAGTAGGGAGCTGGTTTACAATTTTTGAGGTCCCTTGTTCGATCCCGTTGTTAGAGAGCCTGTTAACGATGGCTCAGTTGTGCCCGGTCCGATCCCGTTGTTGTCTGAGAAAATACCTCGAGATTTTTCACCATGGTCTCCCATTGTCAGTAGCGCAGGATGAGGACCAGGACCAGTGTCTATGGTTCGGAATAGACCAAAGAACAAGGTGTCGGTTGAAATTCGACAAAGAGTAGGCGGAAATGCCGCTTTTCGAGCAACAATGACATTACATCATGGTAAGAGGCTGTCTGAAAAGTTCTAAGCTAAGTTTTCTACATAGTCCTCTTCGAGGTGTACACACTTTTGCCAACGATGTTTTGTCCGTCTTCATTATCCCGGTTGGTGCAGAAACGTACGACATTCAATCCCATTTCATTTCTTTTACTTTACGTTACTTCTCTACAGGATTTCCAAGATATAATTAAAGATGACGAGGGAGCTTGGCCGGGTTCTCTCTTTGGACTTCAATTGCTGCGAAGCGAAAAGATACCTCAGAATGTATCTGGTACGTTAATTTTGTTTATTAGTATCGTATCTAGAATATATATTTATTTAAGAAGACATTCATAACAAACAAAATATTAATAAATAAGATATACAGGCATCTGTAGGAAACAGGGGCGTGCTGGCCCCGAAGGGGCCGGTCGGTCGCCGAATGCGACCCGCGTGCCGAAGGCGCGGCGCTGGTAGGGGGGTCTGGGGGGCTTCTCACCCCCGAAAATTTTTGAAATTTGACAACGGGAAACGCGTTTTGCAAGCACTTCTGGGAGAAATCTAGGTATCATATTTTCCAAATTTATGCTGCTATTTTGACTATAAGACATACTACTGTACTACACAAGACACTCATGACAGGTCTGCTTAATATAATGCAATTACAGTGTATTTCTATCCAAATAATAAATTGCATCTTATACATATCGAGGCATGAATACATGTATCAAAGACCATTTCACCTTAAGGTGACAGACATTTGCACGTCAGCATAATATATTTTACTAATCGTTGTCTATGTATGATTTTTCGCGTGCGCACTATCAATTTTTTGAGGGGATTCCGCGTGAAAATTAGAGCTCTCAGGGGGGCCCGCTTATACGGGTGGACTTATTGTTTAATGGGGGCCTGGGAGGACACCGTCCTCCTAAATCCCTGCCAGCACGCCCCTGGTAGGAAATAACTGAAATCTAGTGTGCATATAAACATGATCAGATGTGATACTTGTCGATGTCATAAATGCTACTCCCACCCGACCTCCCCACAAATGAAAACAGTTGTCCAGTTCTTTAGAGATGGACATTCCTAGAAATTATGTTTTATTAATATGTAATAGTTATATAACATGATCATCATTTATGTCAACATAATCATATTTTCCCCCAATTGTAGACATTGAACCCCCTATATGTCGAAAACGCCCCCCTCAAAGGCATGATCACCATCCAGATTCGGAATCTATGCAAAAAACTGGTCTAGAAAAACTTGTTCTCATAAATCCACAGCTCGGGTGGCGATTCCCTCACTTCAGCCACCGGACTAAAATGAATCTTGTGCAATATAATCGACCATCTTTGACACAAATAAATGTAGATCACATGTATGTAGGGCAGTTGTTATGGAAAACTTTTGATTGTTTTCTAAATTCAAAAGTTAAGAAGAATCTTCCCATAACTTTTGAGATGTAAGCCAGAACCAACCTCATAATATTTGTTTTCTTATCGGACAGTGATGATCCGCGGCTCTTAATAGTATCTATTTTTGATTCTGGTAATTTCATTACCGGTCAATTACTCAAGTTCAACTGGTCCATTTGTATTAAAAGTTTAGAAGACTGTGTAGCCTTTTGCGAAATTGCATATTTAAGGCTTATTGCGCTTGTCGATTATCCTCATATTTTATTGTAGGCTATTTCTGCTTTTTTTGAGTACAACAGATTTATCTATATTTCAATGTCTTTTTATAAATGATATGTTTAAAAATGCTAATACCTGTTTGAGCTTGATCAAAAATAATAATAGAAAAACCCAACAAACAAACAAGTTCACATTTATTTAATCGTTTAGAACCTGTACAATTACCAATCGAAATTACACACCAGATCAACCCAATTCCGTTCTTTTACATACAAAGAGGTTTACCTAGTTTTCTAATTTAGGTTTAATGGAAAGTTTTAAAATATCACGACTTCAACTGGGATTGGCTGTAGATGTTGTTGGTATTTTACGCCATGTTTTGTGGGGAGCAGCACATGATTGCAGTCGTGGACCAATTGGGGGAGATTTTATTATTGGGGCTGACGATTTTGAAAGTAGTATCAAATCTCAGGTAATCTATTTAGCATTCTTGCAAATTAAAGTAGATAACAAATAGTTTTTTCATGATGGTATTTTCATGTAAGCGTGTCTGAAGTCGAAGTGTCTAATTCTTTCCTAAATACCTTTATGGTGGCCATTGTGATGGTTGCCGTCCAGGACCCATCTTTTGTCTGTTGAGAGGTTTTAGAGAATTTTCATACAGAATGTTACCATGCTCGAATGCTAAATCACGTACCTTTCTGTGATTCGCTCTATCTATCTAAAGTTGTACACAAAACAGCAGACCTGCAGCGCATTAAAGTTTGTAAGCATTCTGAACATCTGAGACACGCTACCTGCGGAGAAGTATCTCAGACACAGTCAGTAGCCATGATATCCATATCACGTGATCTACACATCACAGGTCATGACATTGGCGTCAATGGGTCATGAGGTCAACATTGTAAACAATAGGTTTATCTTCAGCATTGTGTCCGCTTCACCCATAAAGACTATATAATTCGTAGAGTCCCAACATGTTCTCTCTTCTTCCAATGATTTTTCACAAAAATAACATCTACAACTCATAGAATTGACGTTGTCTTCAATGACAGCTTCTGCGACTGTTGTTCATAGAGGCCGCCATATTGCACTATTTTGTGCGTCGGTCGGGTCTATTTCAGATATACACAATCAATTCTGTTGATGTTTTTAGCGTTGGGATTGACTAATACTTAATGTGTTTTAGTTCTAAAACAAATATTTTAAACTTTAACGCAAATTTAGAAAATAGCCAAATTCTGGCTGGGATTACTGAGCAAAATGGCCATTCACTGTATACGCGCGAAAAAAAAAGCTAGCCACCAATTAATTTTCGTATGTTAGTTACGTACGGTTTGTAAGATGTTCTCTGACATGAGGTATTATGCAAGGGTTAAATCTGTCTATTGCCAGTCTATTTAGGCCTTGAATGTGATATAAACTATTAATTAAATATTTATTAACATGATAGGACCATAATCAACTCTCGATTTCATCTGATGAGTCAGATTTTCAATAGATATGAATCCGAAATGCCGTTCAACCGTCGTTGATGATTAACTGTAAAAATTAATAATCGTGACAGCATGTCACCTTTACTTTATCTAATCTTTCATAATGCCGCTTTAAGCTTTCTGATAGGAAAGCCATGTGAAAATTCTCAAACACTCCAAAACTTCCACGTGTCAGAAAACGGCTATGAACAGACTATTTAAATTTCTTAACCGACCATGAGACAACTTCGACCCATTTTCTGTGTTAATTAGAGGGCATACAATAAGCAAGTCGTTATTTTATATCTGCCGGACATACCCGGTAAACGACGAGGGGTCGATTTTTCAAAATACCCGGTAAACGACGAGGGGTCGGTTTTTCAAAGCTCCGTTAACTTTTAACGACTCGTTAACATGGAGTGAACACGGATTATTTTTAACGGAGAGAAAGTCTCTTGCTGGAAGCCCCGTTAACTTTAACATGTTGACTTGCCGTTATATTTAATGGAGGCATTTTCTGTGGTGCAAATCCCATAATTTTTCCTACAGATTTATGCTAAAATTTCCGAAGGAAAAAATATAGTTTTTTTTATAGTGTTATTCTACAGTTATCTTTTTTGTCTTTAATCAAATTTTGTGAACAGACTGCACAGTTGCCCCACTGTCTTCAGTTTCTTGTTAATACTAAGTTCTATGAAGTTGATATACATGTACATTGAATTTAAAAACTTAAAATTCAACCAATGAACAAACAGTCTTCTCGTGGATTAACTTTAATCAGTCCGTTAGATAATGGATAATGAAATTGACTTTCCAGCAACAGGAATTTAACGGATCGTTAACAAACGACACATTAGCAAGATAACGATCCGTTAGAGTTTAACAGATCGTAAAAATAACTTAGTTTTGAGCAAATGCGATAAGATTTTAATTTTTGCAGCCAATCAGATAATTGCATACCACATTCTGCGTTAAATGACTGCCTTTATTTCGTACCCGGCGGGAATATCTGGAAAAGGACAGAGTAGAGTATATTATAAAGAATCACCTTTCTGAACTTTCAAATTCTACCTCTTTTTGCATTTCCATTTTAGGATCGACCATACCAAGGAGCACTGGGTCAATATATATGGCAGATGCCTGATAATACAAAAACTAACTATTCTATTAATGTCTTATGGTATAACACAACTTTAAATGAGGTAAGCCATTGGCTATTGGCTATTGCCTATTTAGCATAATAATAAATATATATGTTTTAATATTTTCTTTTTTCAAACTGTTGGGTCAGTTCCCATTGTGTTGAAAGAGTAATTAAACATTCGTCGTCTGGGGGAGGGGTGGGGGTCTAGTGCTTAACGCGTGCGCGTTCAAGCATAAGATATGTCATTGAGTCAAATGGCGTGGTGTCGATTTTCCGCTTATGGGGTCGCTAGTACAATCTCGCTGTTTTTCCAGGGTTCTCCGGTTTCTTCACACTGCTAAAGACCCCTACGCGTAAGCTTATTATTGAAATAAAATTGAACCACCCCGAAATAACCTAGTTTGTGTGGCATGGACGTTACCTCCTCCTCCCCCCCCCCCTCTCTCTCTCTCTCTCTCTCGTAATTGATTAAAATATCTGCACATACGGAGAGTTTGTAATTAAACACACAGCTATCCACCGAGATGCATGAATCGATATGCTGTTTTCATTCCAAGTGATCGGATTAACTTCTCTGGTAGTGGTAGAGCGTATTAACTTATAAGGTTAATCATATTTCTGGTATAGCATATCATAACATGTGCTTGCAGTGATTAAACAGCATATTTATTCACAATTTAACCTTCAAAATTGTTTCCATTCACACTAAGACATGGCAATACTACGCCCTTTGATCATTGAATTCTGAATCTCAACCTACCGTCCCTCTGCCACTACTTATCCATACAGGGTCTTATATATGCATATAAATATCCATATCGCATTTTAATCACATTCAAATAACAAAGGTATTAGAGATCACGCTTATCAGATGTCATTAATTAAAATCTCGGCATACATGAAGAGAGATTAGCTTATAAATTTGATCAATTTCTGGTATGGCATATTATAACATGTGCCTGTAGTGATTAAGCCGCATATTTGTACAATTTATTGTCTGAATTATTGGAGATATAATGGCTTTATAATTTAACGTTACTAGAAGAATGTCCGGCTTCGTTCGGGGGTCATAACCTCGAAACCGGAAGTGGTAGACTAACGCCACCTGGCCTATGTTACTCCCTGGTCCGAGCTACCCCTACACCCCAAATTTCAGACTCGGGGCAGACCTAGTGTAGCCGCCAACCCCGAACAGACAGACAGACAAACAGACAGACAAACGACAGTCACAAATATTAGTATAGATTATCCGTTCTTTATGCCCTCTTGTTCATGTTGTCATTTTTGTTATTGCCCAAGTTTTTGAAACGTTGTAATTGTTCTACAATTTAGAGATTTTGTTTATTATTGGTTAAATGTTTTGACGGAGATCGATGAACATTTGATACATAGGCTAAGGATCTGCCTCTACCTCAGGTAGAATATTTAAACTTGACAAATGTCTTGACTGAGATGTAACCTATTCTGTGGTTGACTGGCGATACATTATGGCAAAAATTAAACTACAGTCTTCTATTTCATTTTTTGAAACAAAAATTGAAAAGTAGATGAATGCGTTTCTTCTTGTGCCGTCTCTGACAAGGGGGTGACTTTTCTTTTGTATAAAGCAAACACGCCGAGTTTTAATAATGATTGTTTCATCGATTTCAGCCTGCATAATATTTGTAAAATATATTTAATTACCACTCTACTGTTTTGCAGATTGGAAGTTGTACGTTTATTAATGGTACACCAGAGGTACATTTTGCACAGAGTATTTCTAAAAGTGGTAATGTAAAGCATGTATTTGGTAAAGATGAAATTCTTCAAGTAGTAACAAAACAGGTTAATGCATCTTTATGTAAATATATATTGTCATTTTGTTAAAACCTTTATGTAAATGTATATTGTCAGTTTTATACGTGACACATATCCGCCGGGCTTTTAAATATTGTGATAGTTTAAGACTCGTTGACACGCCTGTAAAAGTACCCCTGTCAGATGGAAATGAAATGAAATGAAATGGGGTTTAACGTCCTACGGTTCTGCTCCTAAACTGGGCTAATGAAGACGGGCATACGCCATACAGTGTGCACTACGGCCTACTCTTATATCGAATTCTAACTGCCAAGGGATCTTTTACGTGCACGCCAATGTGTACACGGGACCTCGGTTTTTCGTTCCATCCGAACGACTAGACAGCTGTCCTTGTCAGGCCTTCCGTCCTGCATCATTGACAAGGGGAAACCATGCTGGAAATTCGGGATGAACTTTCTCGGCCAATGCAGGGATCGAACACCCGACCTCCAGGCTAGCGAGCCAGCGTCTTACCCACTTAGCCACGTGAACCCCCTGGAAACCGATGAGGAGACGGTTGTATTTCTCCTCCCCAACATTGAACAAGTAACCATTAACTGTGTTAGTCCCATAATGGCCAAAGTATTGTTGTGACAAGAAGTTGAACCCCATTACAAGATAACGACAGGGATTGAGTAGACTTGTGACAAACATCCTTGTTAGCCGTTAATAAAAGAAAAATCCCACGAGACAAAATGTAAATGTTATTTAGAAACAGTCTGGAGATAAAATTCAGTAGTCGCTAATTCTGCTCTCCATTATGTTATTTTTCATTATAGGACGACCCATTTGTAATGAAGGAAGGTGACAATTACGTAGGATTTAACATTGACCTTCTAAGAGAGCTATCGGAAAGCCTAAATTTCAAATACAATATAGTAGATGTCACAGATAATAAATATGACGATAGTCATAATGGTCAATTGAATGGAATGGTACAGGAATTAATGAATGGGGTAATTTTAAATTACAAACATTCTACTAAATGTGAATTATGTCTTTATTTCTTTTCATCTTTATGGTTCCGCTTTAGATCGACAAAATGTAAAAAATTGGAATCTAAAACTAAAAAATAAAAAAAGAATCAAAGAGATCGGATTTTCATCAAATTGTTTGTCCATGATGTTTGGTATTAAATATCGTATAATGCAATAAAATAACTTTTGTTTTTCAAACTAATAACAACACAGATTACAAACCTGACTAAGCCCATTTATAAAATCATTCCGAATGTGTTATCATCTAATAATAAGGTTAATGTATCTGACTTTTAAAAAATTATTTCAGAATGCATCAATGGCTATTGGAGCTTTAGAAGTAACAGCTGAAAGGGAAGAAGTAATTAGTTTTTCTTATACCATACTCTCATCTAAGGCTTCACTGCTGATCAAGAAAGCGAAGAGCACCAGGAACTTTTTCCAATTTTTGGGACCCTTCTCCATCGGACTCTGGTTCATGATCGTCGGATTTGTAATAGTGGCCGGTTTGACCATGTTCATCATGAGTCACTATGATCAAACACAAAATAAATCTGAGCAAAAATTTGATTTAAAAGAGAGTATGTGGTATTCGCTGAATATCCTACTACAAGGTACCACCGACTACTCGCCACAAACTACCTCAACTAGAACAATCATATCTTTCTTCTGGTTCTGTGTACTGGTTATTGATGCTGCTTACACAGCTAATCTAGCTGCTTATCTTACTCTTCAGCAGATAGATGATAGAATACGGTAAGTCCAATACTGCCATTACTGACAAGTCCATTTGCGAACAAAGGGACTTTCATACATAGTTTAGAGTATTGTGCAAGAACTGCAACCAAGCTGTTATGTTTTTGTTGCAACCCCCCCCCCCTCACCACCAACCCACTAAACTGAGCTACTTCTCTAAATTAGATCTCCTATTTTCATTCTAGTTTTAATGTTGGATGTCCTACACTACACGAACGAATAACATATTACTTGTTAGCTATCTGTTCTTTCTGAAATCTAGCTCCATCTGCTGTGATTGGTTAAAACCATTTTACCTGATACAAAGTATCTCTTCATTGGTTAGATAAGGCGTCAGATCAACGCAAAGATGCTGTTTGACCCTAACGTATAGTGTCAGTGTTAAACCTGGACGAAGAATATATCAAACCTCTAGACGGTGTTTATATATAAAGACACAGATTTACTTATTTTCAGTACTGTATATGACCTAGCTGAACAAACTGATATCCTGTATGGGGTTGAAAAGGACAGCAGTTTAATGCACTATATAGAGGGCGAAAGGCAAGATCCTTATGAAAGAATGTGGGCTTTTATTAAACTACACGAGACAGAGACCTTGTTGAAGAACACTACCCAAGTCATCGAGAAAGTTACCTCGGGCGAGTTTACTTTCATTGCCGATGGTGTTGTAAACGAGTACTATGCCAAACAGCATTGTGGTATCGAATCTGTTGAGCAGCATTTTGGTCACAAGGATTACAGTCTTGGTTTTCCACGAGGTGCACCATATCGAGATGATATCAACAGAGCCTTACTAGAACTGAAAGAAAGGGGACGTCTGGATTATCTAAAAGAAAAGTATAACAAACTTGTATCATAACTTTTTAGAAGTATTAATATACAAAATAGTTCTTTATATATGAATACACAATGTAAGCTTAACACTTTTCTGTGCATATTGAACATATAAAATAACGCAAGACTGTTGGTGAAGTCACCCCAATTATCCAGTGGCTAAAAGTTACCCACACTAGCAAATCGCTAGCGAGAATAAAATCTGATCAATAAATTACGTCATAAAACACCGGTGTGACATCTGACATGCGTAGTTTATCTTTTGTCGCTACTGTCAGAACTCTAATGAGTTACTTCCCGTTTTATCTTAGAGTTTCGCATTAGTATACTTCGCTCATTTTGAAACTAACAGAAAGACTAAACACTGCGCTTGTCAGCCACCAATGGTAAATGGGGACCGGATTTGAAAACCACATCTCGGCACCCCGTTCCCAAAGACAAGGCGTCAGCATTATAAACGGTTGTTGAGATAGAACAATGTCTATTTTATTTATTGTAGGTGGTGGGCTCCTGGTACCAACTGTACAGATGACGACAGTACCATATCTCGAAGTGATAAAGCAACTGCCGAGTTACAGATAGACAACATGTTTGGCGTATTCTTAGTCTTAGCTGGTTTTGTAGTCTTAGCACTCGTTTGTGAGGTTGGGGACAGGATATTTGATTGTCACACAGCCAAAAAGGCAAAAAAGGTGCGTATACCAGAGAAGCTTTTTAATTTACGTTGTTGGACTAGAATGGACTTTAATGATCGAATGTGTATAAAACGATTTGTAAAAGACCCAAAACATAGTTTCAACCCGCAAAAGAAAAAAACACGGCTCAACAACATTGATTGAGCCCATAGCCGGTACTGGTCACTATAATATAGTCCAAATTATACGATTTCCATTTTTTTATGTCATAGGAAAAGAAAAATGGCAATTCACCATCAGAAGATAATTTCTACGTCAGTGCTGACGATGTTGATGTCGATAAAAAGATTCTCAAGAAAATCGAAGAAGATGCCAAGAATTTGCAAAGTTTCTAAATAATAATTCGCTTAAAAAGAAATTCTGAAGAAATGAGAGGAGCACTAATTAATCATTATTTCTTAACAAAGACGGTTTTATACTCTGCTTTTTATTAAAGATACATTTTTTTCAAGAGCTAAATTTGTCTATTGCAGGTCTTTTTTTAGGCCATGATTGTTATATAAATTATCAATTAGACATGTATTAACATGACGAGACCATAATCAACTCCCGATGCCATCGGATGCTCGAGATTTTAACTAGATAAGAAAGGTTCGGTCATTTAATGAATTAATTTAAAAATAGAAAAGCGAGGCTAAGCTTCGAATATACCAGTACCGTGATATCAATCAATGCATACATATTGTCAAAACTACAAACAGTGAATACTTGGCTCAGAATAAAGTAATTTGAATGAAACTTTCAATATATTTAATTTGCATGATCTATTTCTGAACTATTATTGCAAGAACGGCTCTTTCTCTAAATCTTAAATAATGCATCTTTAAAAAAGTTTTATACTACAAGTTATTCAATATCGTTTTTAAGTGTACAATTAAATAATTTTAACACGACTCCTTAGTACCGTTATCAATGCTACATTATATAGCAACGTGTAAGGGAGAATGTGAAGTGAAGGAGGGGGTATTTAAAATGACCCTGGATTTTAAAATGTGTTTTATTAGATTTGTAAAGAGGATATCTGAATTAAAACTAATGTTCAAATGTTTTGAACAGTCACCAGTTCTGGCCAGGAACGAAATTAAAATAAGTAAATAAACCACTTAATATTTCGAATCCTGTCCCATCACTCATTCAAAACTTTTTTTTCTCTAATTCAAAACGGCTTAGTAGCTTCACTAATTTTAATTATGGTAGTCATGAACGTCAATTATTTCATGTTCCGGGAAGGGAAATATACCCCTCCTCCCACCATACGAATATAAACTTAACTTGTGTTTGTTAAAATTCAGTTGAAAGAGAACAACAACAACTAGAACCACGAGGCGGTACTGGCGTGTTTTGGCTAATCACATCAGGTCGCGTCATCATTTCACGTTTCAAGATTTTAATAGGCTTGATAGGCCTGCAGCCAAAATTTCTAGAGTGAAGTTCCGCTACATGGTCCTCCCAAAAAAGCAAACTATGCATTTTTGGAAAGCCTATAACATCAGGATGTGTTCTCACACATGGTCTTGTGCGTCATACAGCATCAGCAGTCAACACACACCTGAAATACGGTTATTAATTGCAGACATTTGACAGAAAGGGAGATAACTCTATTACCGTTAATGGATTTCCAAAATTCTGTATGTTGACTTGTCCATTATGTTTTCGGAATTTTGGTTTAAATCAAAATTTAACCAATAGCATATTCTTTGCTGAGGATGAAGGCATTGAGTGTTTTAGCCAATATTTAATTTTATGCCAACTTCACAATTGTTAGTATAAATAAAGCATTTACTTGAAAATTATCACAATTTTCATCTGGCCCTAAATCGAGTTAGAGCAAACATTTTGCTTGGAACTCTCTGGATTTGTGTTCCTAGTGTTATAAGCTTTCCAAAAATGTATAGTTTGTTTATTTGGGCGGACCATGTAGCGGAATTGTGTTTCTAAGCAAGCTAGAAATTTCGGCTGCAGGCCTACAAGCATACTACACAATTTACAAATGAGCAGAGATGCGAAAGTGCTATGACTACCATCTTGAATAGAAGGTTTGATCTCGCTTAACTCCGTACAAGGCCTTAACGTAATACTGTACATTTTCGGTAACAAATTCCGATTGGTCTAGAACCAAATTCTAGAACTCTCAGATTTCTCGATAGAAAATGCCATCTCGAATGAAAGGTCTCGCGCTTTCCAACTGAAATGTCTACCTGTGATAACTGACAAATCGCAATAGAAGGGAGATAATAACTGATAACATTCTGGGGAAAACTGATATTTAAAATCTGTACGTATGTTTTTCGTCTAAAGATGGGACTAAACCTGTTTGTGTGTGTATGTGTGTGTGTGTGTGTGTGTGTGAGAGAGAGAGAGAGAGAGAGAGAGAGAGAGAGAGAGAGGGTTTAACGTCCACTCAACACAAACTAGGTCATTTCGGGACTAACACATGGTTCAATTTTATTTCAATAATTTGCTTGCGCTTAGGGGTCTTTAGCAGTGGGAGGAAACTGGAGAACCCGGTGAAAACCCACGAGGTTGGACAGGCGACCCTACTCCTTGTCACGTACAACCGGGATTCGAAACCACGCCAGTTGACTCAATGAAAACCTGTTTGTTTTAGGTCTAGTCGTTCGTATACATATCGGCGTGCTTATAAAAGAACCCTTGGCAGTTGCAATTCAATTGATGTCCAGACAAAATCCCCTGCATATATGTCATAGTGGTCACTAGTCCAGTTGGTGCAGAATAGCCTGGCGTCAAACCTCATTCATTCATTCATTCATTCATTACTTCAGTTAGTTTGTAAGCAGTCATTGGTACATCCAGTAGTGGATATAGAAGCTGCGAATGAGGCGTAGGGATGCAAATCTAGGACGCCATCCACAATCCCAGCCCACAATGAATGTCAACAAAATACTGACTATAACACTGAGCGCCCCGGAAGAACATAAATCGTATTGCCTATATATACTCTTCAAAAAAGTTGCGGATATTCTGAAACAATACAAAATTGCTGAAATACACTGCTGTTTTTATTAGAGGTAACCAGTGTATGTTAAGAACAGGCCAATTGCCTACACATGAACATAATCAGTTCATATAGGCGGCTTATCTGACGGCCCCATTTCACTCGCAGAGATACACCGTCAAAAGTGAAAATGGACGTTTTTGATTTTGGTCTTAATAATGAGTAATTGCTCCACCAATCCTCAGACATTCGGCAATTCGTCGTGGCATACTCCAATCACGATTTGGGGCAATCTGACCCACCCCTCTTGCAGTGCCACGGGCAATTCTTGCAGTGACTTTGACGTCGACGAACAAATTAAACTTAACGCACTAAAGCAAAGATACGGCTAAACAGTAAATCTTATGCAAGAACCGATAGGAAAGCAAACATGGATAGGGTGACCCACCATAAATAAATATCTCCATATATCTCGACAATTTCGCCACAATATTTATATATATGCCAAGCCTCAAATCAGTTTCACACAATTATAGTCACTAAATAAACGATCATGTTGTACTTAATAAGCTATGACCATTAATCATCTATAAATAATAGACTGAAAACTGGTTCCATGTGTCGTCCATAACATCCAGACACTCTTGAGTAAAAAATAGGTTACGTGCCCTTGTTTTGAAATTAGTCTCGCTTAACCAGTCTATCGAGCATTCAAGGGCTGATTGACATGTCGGGATAATCAAGACTACTTTTTTACGAAACATAACAGAAAGCTAGAACAAGAAATTGAAATTAGACATGAGCACGTTAGCTAGCTCAACAATTGTTTTAAGAAGCTTGTAAAAGTAAAATGAAACTACTGCTAGTATCATGTTCCTGTCTAACCCGAGTGCTTCAGAGATATTATTTGTACTAAACCAAAAGATGCTGCTCTGAACGGTACAGTTAATGATAAAGCGATTTAAAAAATGAAACGAACGTAATTTCTAAATCTGCTGTAATAACCAAGAAGCTTAATTTTACTGCTATTCAAAATCGTCAACAATAATTTTTTTACGGCTGTAATAGTTGATAGATTTGTAGAGAATTGCACGTGCCATGGCTATTTATAGTATCATACTGTCAGAAAGTTGGCCTCGACACGGCGAATGTGCACGCTTCAGTGGTAGTCTCGAACTATCAGCGGTTGACTGTATTTCTGTAGGTGCATGGGCCACCCTAGGATAGATAAACCAGCACGCGGCAGTTTTCATCAACCCTTGCTTGAAGTGTCAAATTTGACAATGAACCCCTCCCACGTGTATGGCGCTATTGCGTGTCGCATGTGCAGCTCAGTGGTTCTGTTGGGGCGATAAGTTCTTCATCTGTGAACATACTCTCAAAGCATGTCAAGTGTCCGTTACTGTTTATCATATCACAACCTACATAGGTATTTACATTTCAATATCCCCTACTTTTTTTTGAAGAGTATAGTTCGGTGATGGTTATCTCGCCGGAAACCAGTTCTATTCCAGTTGTTTAGGTTGTTATTGATTTGTTATTATTTTTTGTGAACCTTAATAGGGATGCTTACTTGGTCTTATTTGTTCTCATGGGGTGGGGTGGCCGTCCCCACCACGGCTTTACATCTGGGCTTGGGTGTAACGTATTCTTTCTAGAATAGCCGATACCATTTGATTTAAAAATGTATTTATTCAGAATTCTTATATACAGTCATAGAGGGAAAAATATGAATAGATTGGATACAGTAACAAGCAACTTAATGCTTATGTAAAACTGCTTCCAGAATAGGGTGACATAAATATAATTTTAATGATCAGCTGGTAATGTAATACAATAAGAATGATTATAAATATCAGGGTTTTAGTTAACGGTGATATGGAAAAAGGGGTGTATGAATAAAAAAAAAAGAGAAACAGTTAAAAGAGAAAAAAAGAAAATTCGAAAAGGACTGGGGGCTCGAGTACCGATTTGGATAAGAAAGTTGGATACGCGATGCCAAGGGGGGGGGGGGGGACTACGCACCAACCTAGTATATTTAATTGGTGTATACACATATCTCACGTTTGACTTGGTTTCTGTGGCTTGGTCAGGGAGGTTGTTCGCAAATAAAATTTGAAGGATACTTTAAATAGTGGCTCGTAAAGAATGGTTAAACTACATTTATTTATGAGAATTGAAGCGTTTAGTCAGAGTTATATATTGGTGGACGACTGAGAGTAAACAGATATTTTTATTTTTAGAAAGACTGTCATTTCCAAATAAAAGTGAATTAATATTCTTGTAATAGTCGTCCAAGTGTTCGCTAGATTCACATTTGTTTCCGCACAGACAGGAAGGGTCATCAGATATACGCATGAGGTATTTATGATAATTTAAATCAGATTTCGAATTGCGTAGTTTGGAGTGAATAATCTGAAACGTCCTGTCGCCAAAATTGAAAATGAAATGAAATGAAATGGGGTTTAACGTCCTACTGTTTTGCTCCGAACTGGGCTAATGAAGACGGGCATACGCCATACAGTGTGCTATGAGGGAAATTTTGCCTGGACAGCGGCACTACGGCCTACTCTTATATTGAATTCCACCTGTCAAGGGATCTTTTACGTGCACGCCAATGTGTACACGGGACCTCGGTTTTTCGTCTCATCCGAAGGACTAGACAGCTGTCCTTGTCAGGCCCTCCGTCCTGCATCACTGACAAGGGGAAACCACGCCAGAAAACGCCAAAATTGAAGAGATCGTTGTATTTATTTATATTAAACTTTATTATCCTATGATGACATAATAATACGGGCATTTGGCTATTATAGAAACGATAGCTGAAATGATATTCTTTGATTGTGAATAATATAGTTCAACCTACTAGATAAACAACCAACAATTTATGCTTAATTCATAACGAGAAAGAAAAAAGCAAAGTGCATACCTACATATAAAACACAATAATACTTACATATCAGATATATACATATACATTTTTTATAAACTATATATACCGTAATCATTCAATATATATACATATAATAATAACAATACAACAATCTTATTTATACAGTTCACTTTAAGGGTCTTACTATATAATACGAAATATACGATTAAACGGTCACCGTGAATACATATATTACTAATTGAACAAAAGCACTACATATACGATATGGGATTTTTCATTGTGAAATACTAATATGAAAATATCTTAAAGGCACAATGTATCACTTGTACTCTATCCGCATATATATAGTTTAAAGCAGTGATTTCCAACTGGGGGCGTACGCCACACAATGGAACACTTTGAATATTTGGGGGCAATTTGGAAATGATGTAAATAAGAAAAAAAAACCTTCACGTGTTCCATTGTTACTTTTACACATTGGTAGAATGTGGTTTTATTACTGTGAGTGTCTTATTATTTTAAAAAAGAAATCGACTTGCTAAGACTTAAGACTGAAACTTACTAAATTAGAACCTCGTATTAAAACACTTTGCATGAGTAACTAAACAAAAGCACTACATATATAATATGGAATTTTCATTGTGCAATACCAATATGCTACAATGAAAATATCTTAAAGGCACAATGTATGTCTTATCTGCATAATATATAGTTCAAAACAGTGATTTAAAACGGGGGGCGTACGCGTCACAAGGGACAATTTGACTTTTACACATTGGTAGAATGTGGTTTTAGTACTTAAGACTGAAACTGACTAAATCAGAACCTCGTATTAAAACACAAAACACAAGGATCTCACTAAATTGCCTTTTCATAAACTAAATACTAAATAAAATGATAATTGTTTGATTCTTTGATATTGTATTTGAATAATATTATTTTATTGGAAGGAATCAATATCTTATTTGAAGGATTTAATTTTATTACACTTTTACAAAACTCAATTTGTTTGTATATCAAAGCATGGGTGGGGTGGGGGTAGGGTTGTTGGCACACAATAATTTGCGATGTTGAGGTGGGGTATAGCGTATGGTACACAAAAGGTGGGGGGGGGGCAAGGTCTCGTGTATACGTGGGAGTACTCGTAAACGAACCCTTGAAAGATGGAATTCAGTAAAGAATGGGTGGAAATTACGTTGTCGGGACAAAATTTCCCGTCTTCAATAAAACATAGTTTGTGTCGAAAAGTAGGACGTTAAACCCCAGTTCATTTCATTTTCTATAATTAAAGGTGCATTATGTAAGATTTAGATAAAGAGCTGGTCGTTCTTGAAGATTTGACTCAGTCTCGCTTCTCCATTTTTAAATTTAATCTGTTTACTTCTGCGCCATCCGGTGCTCTAGAGAATTGATTATAGACTTGCCATGTGAATAAATGTCCAAATAATAATTTATATATCATTTGAAACCAAAATAAAACCCTGTAATAGACAGAATTAGCTCTTACGTGATGCATCTTTAACCTTTATTGTGGCATACTGGGGCTTTAAGTAAATGTCTAGTTTAAATATGTTAACAACCTCTTGCCGAACACAACTGATTTCTCCAATACAATAGATACGTGTTTTTGGCCAGATACGAACTCCTGAATACATCTTTATTGTATAGCTTAAACAACCCGTAGTGAGGGCTTTTAAAATGTAGGTGTACAATAAGTGGTAACCATTGCGAAAGGGTCGTGATATCGTTATTGAGTTACATGATTGATTATGGATTATAATTTTGAAATATCACCCAGTTTTAAATGAAATGTAGTCATTGATTAACTATACAAAGATGACAACGAAAGGCGAATTATTGGATCCACTTAGGATAATCCTAGGATTACTAATTATCATCAATATGACACATCTGATATCAGCAAGTAAGTTATTCTCATTTTAATTTTTCATATACCCGTAAATAAAGTTGGTCAACACAGTGTGTTACAGTGGTAATTAAATCAATAAACGGAGTTTACCTTATTATCGTATATAACTGAACGCTCTGGAGGCGGGGGAGGGGGCGGGGTAGCTGTCAGTTCACCGTTTTGTTCTCTCACATAATTAGCATAACCAACTGCACATTCTAGTGCAACAAACATGATATTACAGAACAGTAGATTGGTTTAACTGATAACAAAAATACCAGATTAACCGTGACATCACTTACTGTTACGCAATACGAATCACGATTTTGTAAACATACGATAAAGGGAATTTTGATATAAAAATCAGTTTTCTCGGGTTTGATTTATTTCTTAAGATAAGCCAACAATAATTTTTATGGTATTACTTACTTTCACATCTTGGACAAAGCTGAAACTAAGAGATTTGTTCAACAATCTAATCCAAAAACTGATGTTATTTTCGCTTCGCGTATGCAGTTGGTCACATTAACCCTATCTGCCTGCGACAACAGCATCATATCATTGAACTTAATTAGATAGCCAAACAATGTCTCGATGCTAAAGATTTTGAGGAAATTGATTTGGTTTTACTAATCATGGTTGGTTTGTTGTAGGTTTGTAGGGCTTTAACTCCGCCTCCACCGAAAGTACTATCACATGCAAACCGTGTTACTAATCACAATCTGCGCTTTTTAAATGAAATGTGTTTAATGTCCTATTGTTCTGCTCCGAACTGGGCTAATGAAGACGGGCATACGCCATACAGTGTGCTATGAGGGAAATTTTGCCCGGACAGCGGCACTATGGCCTGCTCTTATATCGAATTCCAACTGTCATGGGATCTTTTGCGTGCACGCCAATGTGTACACGGGACCTCGATTGTTCGTCTCATCCGAACGACTAGACAGCTGTCCTTGTCAGGCCCTCTGTACTGCATCACTGACAAGGGGGACCAGGCCGGAAAATCGGAATGAACTTTCTCGGCCAATTCAGGGATCGAACATCCGACCTCCAGGCTAGCGAGCGAGCGTCTTACCCACTTAGCCACCGTGATCCCCCTGCGCTTTTTAAAGAATTTTTTTTAGACAAGGATGAATTGGACAAACAACCTACAAAATCAAACGGAACGCAATGTTGATATAATTTTAATTAGACAGTTTGTTCAATAGAGCTTGTTATATTTTGTTTAGATGGTGATCAAAAGAAAAGTCTAGAAGATTTCAGGTATAAATCTACAGCATCAGGTAATTTATTAATTCTTGCTGACAGGTTCGTTGCCTCTGGATTTGTCCAATTGTTTCTGTGTCAAGTAAACGGATAAAATATTTTCGTATAAAAACCCAAACTGCCGGTGAAATAAAATTTTTGTGGTAATTTTGCCGACAGGGTAAATAGCCTATGTCGGTCGAATTGCACATCAATTTTTGGAGAGCAAGTGAAAATTCTGACCACACCTTTTAGAGGTCTTTTAGTTTTAATAATTACCAGCCTATTTATGTTTTTGCAATCACAGGTTCTAGTGAATTCAGTGATTGGCAAGTGACGTTAATTATGATTGCTCTGGTGGTTAGTCTTTCATCTCTAGTAATGACAGCCTTAGTAAGTTCATTATTTTTATTATTTTATAATTTTGTTCTTATAAGCAACATGGGAATACATTTATAGAAAATGTTCCTTTCATTTTTGATTTACTTGTTTATACCAAAAGTGTTGGTAGACCATACGTTTTGACTGTATGGTCGATTTGGGAACTTGTAAATTGACAGCTACAAAGATTAAAAATAAATCTCGTCATCCACTCACGAACTTTTCCGGTTCCACCCACAACATTTCTGTTAACACCAATAACGTACGCCAATACTTCGACAGGAAACTCATATAAATCATAAGTAGAGCTTTTGCTCGTATAGTGAGTGTACACAAAAGACAGCATGATCGGGTATATAAATATTTAATATGAAGAATGTAAAGAAATAGGTGTTAAAGTCACCCGTACCTAGTGACCAATATTGCCTATATTTATTCTCGTTCTCTCGTTCCCGCCATTTGCATGATATTTTTTTGTTGACTTTTTGGTATAGAATTTTAGAAGTGTGTTTGAGTTTCCACTTTGGTGCATTGTCATAATTTTGAGGCGGAAGGATCAGGAAATGAACAGACTTGAATTAGGGAAATCACGTATAAAAATGACGTTGATGCCTATAGATTTCTTTGACCCGTCGTAGCAAAAAATCGAGATGGCCAACACCTTTCATCATTCTTATCAACTGATTGTGTCATGTTGGGCTATTTCTGGTTAAAGAGCAGACAGCATCGAAGTTCACAAATAAATGTTATAGCAGAAGGAATAGCATGGATAAAACATTAAAGTCAATGATAAGGGAAATGTGGGATTACTAGCCTCAAACCATCTAGCGGCGGTGTTATCTCCCTTCGAACTTTTACGAAATGGAGAAACCAGTTTGGGCCTCATTTTTTAAGACCACCGCAAACGGTTTGACATTAAAACACCCCAAAATATTTTTTTTTTTATGTGTACCGTTATATAGAATCTACCAAAAAAATCATCGGTACATGTATTTCAATTTATTGTAATTTATTAAAGGTAGCGTCGCCCACATTTGCGTGCTAGAATTCGATATAAGGGTAGGCCGTAGCGCCGTTGTCCGGGAAACATTTCCCTCATCGCATACTGTTTGGCGTATGCTCGTCTTCATTAGCCAAATCGGAGCAGAACAGTACGACGTTAAACCCCATTTCATTTTATTTAGGCAGGTATTTCTATTTCAATAATTGATTCCCCACTGCGTTTATTTATGGACAATTGACGAGTTATACGACATATAATCTACTGTTATAGTCGTCAATTATCAGTCTACGAATATGGTTACTTCACCAATGTAACAATAGATAGCAGTCTACCCATAAAGTAATCTATCAATGATGGCTTGTAAAGTTTTGATGGTTTCAAATATATACAAGATATGTTTACAACTTGAACATTTCTCCTTGCGTAATAAGAAACCCACCGAAATTAATTATCAGTTAATAATTGTTTTATTTTCTTCTAGTATTGCCACGATAGACTTAAGAACAAAAGAGTTGATATTCGTGATGTGACTTCCGTTGAAGATCCAAAAGAAGAATCAGCAAATTTTCCTAAGCCTGTTTCGGCTACAGCACAAAAACTAGAACCATTACCAGCCTCTGTTAATCGCCCAACACGCCTTTCATCTGACATAATTCGTCCAAGACCATTACCTCCAATAAGTGCTAAAATGTATCATGAACCTACTGAACTACGACCATTACCAAAAATACCAAAAGCGACAACATCAGTATTTACAATAGAAGCCCCACCCCCTTCATACAACGAATATACCGAATTTCCTCCAGGCAATGCACCATTTTAAAAGAATTCCCCGTTCCTGTGAAAAATTCATTAATTGTGATAAATCTGTATAGATTGTAATAGCCTGTTTATGTACATAAAATCTCTTGTAAATTTTTAATACTAGGGTATTTTTTATATGTCAGACTGGTCATTCGGTAAAAATAATTACATTCCCTGGTCGTTTTTGTCGAAGGAAACCGTCTATGGCTGGCGATTCTATATTTTTGAAAATGGCATATTGTTTATAGTGTAAAGGATTAAAATTAATATTTTCAACATTCTTTTGTGCTCAATTTGATGGGTTTCGAATTAACTCAACTATAATGTGCATTTCCGTTGTTAAAACAATCTGGAACAATGATTCCATTGGCTGGGCTAAGGCAGTGTTGCATATCTACAAATATGCAGTCTTTATTCATGACATAAAAAACGTATTTATATCAAAAATGCTTTGTTAAATCCTGCATCCAAAACAAAACGTCACCCTGTGGAAAAATGGCCAGGAATAGCCGTTTATCTACGTATGCTAATAGTATGACCTTAAACGGTTTCCATTCCTGATGAATATTGTTAATACTACGCCCCCCCCCCCCCAACCCTCACCCCATACATACACTTTATCATAAAACGATAACAACTGTCCCTCATATTGGACTTACCATCCAGATTTGGTTGAAATTATGCAATGGGTGGAAATTGTATGGCTGACAGAAAGCTAGCCCGTGCAAGTCGTTTTCACGAAAATTGTTTTCTTTTCACTGGCTTGGATCGGTAGCTATAAGGTCCCATAAGTAACGTATCTCATGAAATGAGTACACAATTATGAGATAACTGGTATATCATTAGACTGGAGGAGAGTCTACTTTACTCAACTGATCAATAGCTTTATACATATTTCTGTTATTTGTTACTTCAATTTCTTATTATATACATAGCTAATATGTCTATAATATCAAAAGGTCTCATCGTTTTTTTGTCTTTTATTTCTTCAAATTTATGTGTCAGAAAATGTAGGTACAAAGGCACTTGATTGCATAGGAAATGTTGGTGTAAAAGGCCTCCACGCAAATACCCTTCACCACTTTCCAGACCAATGAAATTCCAGATACCCAGGTATCTAAATATACCGGTTAGCATTTGGGGTCGGAGAGCCCCTTTACCTTTTATACAATTTACTTCTTTCCACTGGGGTCTATGTGGGATTTCTGTTGCTCGAATTCGTCCACTGGAGATTGTTTTTGGACTTATGGTTGTTAGATATATAATGCTTGAATTGATAATAATGTTATTCTTCTAGAAGGTAGATACATTTAGGTGTTGTCCGACGGAAGCGCCCGAGTGGGTTATATATAGCGTCAGCCCCCCCCCCCCCCCGCCAAATGGATTTTTATTTGCCGCTATTTGGCAATATTGAAATCTTCAGCTTTATGTTAAAAATGAATTCAGCAAACTATTTACAGCACAACTATGTATGAACTAATATGGAGAATATCGTTATGTTACGATATATCGCGTAAGGTAGGCTATTTTTCTACTTTAATACTTAATTTGCCAAAAGAAGGGAGATCCAAGTTCCCCTCAGCAGTATGGTATTAGATGACTGACGATGTTGCCACCCCACCCTACCTCCCCCCCCATCAATATTCTGAAATAATCAATTCAACAGATCGAACATAATAAATAACACCAGGGCCCTGTTTCTCGAAATCTTAACTAAAGAAAAAATCTAAATTTTAGTAGATACTTCAATTTTGATTGGCTAAGCGCTAAAATCAATCTAATATTATCCAATCAAATTACTAAAATTTGGATTTGATCTTAGTTAAAATTTCGTGAAACAGGCCACAGTAAATACCTCCCCTGATTCCACGAACGCGGCTCGTCCATATATATCAATTCTCCCTTTTGACCATTTTTGAATGTTGATGTGTTTTGGTTTAGAATCGAGTTTTTGAATTTACATTTTCTGCAAGGAGTTGAAAAATATTCATGTTTTAAGGGCGGAGGAACCAGGAGGTAAATAGATATCACAGGAAACCACGTACAACAATGACGAGACAACGTATAATTATAGCCTAGATAGATTCCTTTGATCGGGCGGAGAAGAAATAAATCGAGAAGACCAATCACCTTCAATATCTTTATCGGATGGTTGTGACATGTTGAGCTCTTTGTTAAAGATTAAGATCATTTTAACTTTCAACAAAATGATATAGGTCAAGGAATAGCATTGATTTAATTATAAAATTGAAGTCACCGACGAGATGATGTCTAGCCATTGGAGTTACCTCCCCTACAACATTCAGCGCATTACTTTCTTATCGATTATAAATACGGACAACTTTACAGTCAATCAGTCCCTAAAGCCGTCGAATTATCAGGGGCGGATCCAGGAATTTTTGCAGGAGGGGGTTTGCCAGGCTCATGTTAAGGAAATTTGACAGTTGACGAATGCATGATGCCACCATCGTCTCTAAATTACGTAGGCATGCATAGACACTGATCTTATTAAAGAGAGAAATCCAACACTCCGTTTGATGTCAATTTTTATAATGAATTAATAGGATCACATTGCGATTCAATTTCATTGGTGCAAACCATTAATTGTGATATCACTCATGTCTATATCATTATTTCGCGATTTGAATGCCAATCCCATCCCACCATCTGATGATTAAGGATAAAGCACACGACAGTTTCACTTTTCATAAAGTGTTGTTTTACAAATTGTTTTATGTAACTGAGCATGGGGGTGGGACTTGACCCCTCCCCCCCCCCCCTTGCCACCTTTGGGATCAGCCCCTGATTGTGCCGAGGGTTCCGAGTGCACAGGTTGGGGTAGTGGGTTGGGGTCTTATGGCTGCAATAATAGACATTATCATACCAGAAATTATGTTTCTAAGAATGATAAAAAGAAATCCACACTAGAAATGTCACAGCTAATATTACGTAGCTACCACGTGTATACAAAAAAACTTGACTGTATGATATAAACCGAAACGAATAATAAATTAATAACAAAAAATTAGCAGACATATAGAATTACTGGGATTGTGGTCATATTTGAGTTCAGTTTGTTAGCTCGATATGTGGTTAATAATATTTTAAAATGAGGAACCGATGTATCTAAATTGATTCCCTCTATCATGCAGTTATTTTTAAAAAAATATAATTATAACTGTAATGTAACTTGGTACAGCACACGTGTCCAATAATAATTTGAAGTGTACATATTTACAATAATGTACATATGGTTCCTTTTTCATTGATTTTACTTTGGCTGTTAATATTGATATCATACACATGTTCTTAATTCCTAATCATTAACATGTTAAAAAATTCCCAGATTCCAAATTTAAAAGAATTTTGACCCTTGACACTATCTAATTTTCTTATTTTGCAAAATAGTGTATTTTATGAATCTATGATTTCTATTTTTGAACTAACTCACCCTCGATCCAGTAAAGCAAAGCTTAACACCCTTGATCGGTCCTTTGAAAATGAAATATGTAGTAGGAGTATCCCTAGACAATTGTTATATTTTGTTGGTATTTTTTTATTGGGTGATGGGTGTGGGGGTTATAAAAAATCCCCCAATTATATTGTAATGAAGATTGACATCACACATATTTGACAATTAATTTTTACTGCTTAGTGGTTATTTAAGAGAAATGCCTGATACCGATCTCTAATATTTCATAATTATCTATATCGTCTAGAACAATACTATCCACAATGCCATCTCTTCGATGTTACATTGTCTGTCTCTAGATCTGATAAAGGTAATTTCCTGACCCGATTGGCATGGGGTCATTGCAGACTCGGATTGCGAGGTCCAGTCACAATACACTGTGCTACCCCCCCCCCTCCCAATAAAAAGGAAAGAAAATTAAAATAGAATATTAAAAAACCCCAGCTCGATTCGCATAGCCACCCCCCCCCCCCCACAAAAAAAAAAAAATAATTTGAAATTAATCAAAATAAACCAACGAAGAAACAAACTCTATTTCCTATTTCTATTTCCTATCTTGCAAATATACAGATTTACCTTTGGAAAATATAAATATATCGCCTTCATAGAACTTCGCATCAGTCGAAACACCTATGGATTACGTTTGTCAGAGGAATATATTATGTTGTGAAGATGGCGATGTGGTGAGATTGTGACCATACAAATGCAATGTATTTTGAAATATCAACTTTGAAATGCAACAAATAATTCAATTATAGTCCCAGATATTAATTATAAAATAAACGAAAACATTATCAATGGGGAAATCCAAAAACTAAATTCAATATAATCCGTAATTTGTAAATTTTCTATATAATTTCCCAATTCCATCAGTACTGTTTATGTGTACCAGTTGACGTACAAACCTCGATACAGTTCTAACCATTTCGTTATATTATAAACCGCTTAACACGATGATCATATTTTCTTTTATTCCCTCGCGCTTCCAAATATTTATCGTACGTACTGATGTTCATTTTGTCTCTCCACTTAATTTCACGTTTTATAATTCTTAAACTACAAGAATGAAATTAGGATTTTGACGCATGGGATTCTAAAGGGTTTATAACTATTTTCCTGGTGATATCCGGGATATTTAAAGGAAGCATTAAGCGGTATCCCTATATATTAATACATAACACATTTACCCCTTTTCATTAGCAAGCATTAAGACTTTGTGAAAGAATTTACCCGTTGATAAAAAAAAAACCAAAAAAACATTTCGATATGGTGCGATTTCACTAAGCATATACAATTGTATGTAGAATTTGAGACAAATCTACCGAGGTATATTTGAGATATATACACATTATGTATATATTTTAGCGATTTTCAAAGTAATAAATACTATATTCTAATTAGATCAGTTATTAGATTTTCGATTTTCTGAATTCTTCTGGGGCTTAATTACATTTATTTTCTTGGTGAGAGTATAAAAAGGCGTTTTAGAGGCTTGATTGGTAAATTTGAATCCTTTTTCTTTTTGCATCGAACGCATATTACCACTTTTGAGATTGTTTTGATAATATTTCGTTTTAAAGCAAAGCCACCCATTTTACAATGGAAGAATATAATGTGATTGGATAGAGAGGGTTGAATCCAAATTTAAAATCTGTAATATTTCATATCTACCATCTAGCTAGATAAATCTCATCCACAATGCCATCTCCACAACATTACAGCCTGTGGCTCGAATAAAGGTTTCCTCCCATCTCTAAAGACCCATACACTCAAACGAATTATTGAAATAAAATTCAACCATATATTAGTCCCGTATGACCTAGTTTGTGTCGCGTGGCCGTTACCTCCCCCCCCCACCCATTTCTCTCTCTAATAAAGATAATTTCCCTACCCATTTGACACAACACAATGATGTTACAGCGCAACCCCTACACCCCAAAAAGTGAATTATGCGTCTTCATTCGCTCAGTTGGTGTAAAAAAAAAAGGGTAACACGCTTAACCCCATTTCATCGGATTATTTGGTTACCAAACATGTAAAACTAAAGTTGGGATTAGATTTATCCTGAAGGACAGGGGCTCTAACCTGCTTAAATACCAAAGTTTCCTCAAATAATTTTATTTCCTTGTTATATGGCTGTGCTTTGATTACGAAATAGGATGTTTGGGATTTCTGCGAACTTTGGTACGACGATAATGTTTAGGAATAGGAGGTAGCCCATTCATTCTTCAAGGGATCCTGGTCTCCTTCTTTGTTTTGTCAAGAAGAGCCTTCGTTAGTGCCTCCAATTATACAAAAATATAGCATTGGGTCCACTTTTTTGCTTTTCGATATACAGCTACTAATGGCCTATCTGCAAGATTTAATCGCATGAAAGAGATGGTTTGCTGTTGCAATAGGGTTTAGGGCTGTTCATATGCTGTAGATAAATGGCTTATCACAAGGCAAAAGTTTAATTATGGCTTTGAATTTTCAGAATTCAACTTTTTGTTTTGTTCACAATTGTATTACACCCTACCCACTCTTACAATTCTGACTGTCTAGGAACATAATGAGTATTTTAATGACAAAAAAAAAAAAAAAAAAAAAAATCCCAAATGTAAACACTGTTGGAACGGAGGCTGTCTTTCCAGTTACGATGATGGTTTCCAAGTGTTTTGCAATCTGAAACATGACGACATGTATTGCTTTAATTTTTTGTGACAAACAAATAAAAAGAACAATGCGGGATTGGAATTGTATTTTTTTTTTATTTGTTATACATTATTCATCAGTAGAATAGGACAATTATCCTAAATAATTTTTTTCAATGTATCGTACAAGGTAGGACATGCACATTATGATTCAATAGGGTTTGTACATACAGAAAAAAAACCTTAGACAAATAATTTCTATATTATAACATTATATATTCCAGTTGAACCTGAGCAAAGTAAGTAAAGACAATAACAAATACAGCGAAATAGAGCACTACAGAGACACAATAAAAATGTACATAATATTATTATTATTATACGACGACGACGATGATGATGAATGGGATGAAGAAGTATTTTTTTGTTTCGCCTCTTAACTTGAATACGCTGATTGAGAAAGATGGGAGAGTTCGGCTAGCCATGTTTCCAACACCTTTTTGTCTGTGTACTCAAATACACGAGGCATATCGATTGACACTGTGAATGAAAAATAAATAGTTATTCTTTAATGAAATAGAAGTTATCGACGTCGTGAAAACAAACCATGGTTAGAATGTAATGGATTCTGTACAAACAAGGAACTAAGAAAGAATTGGGTCTCATTTTCATGACTTCAGGAATATTTCAAAGAGACAAACATGGCAATTTATGAACTATGTGTTTGGCGTTTCACTGGCAAATTAAATCATTGCCGGGGATTGAAAACAGTGCGAGTTTTAAGAGCATAATGATTTAACGTAGAGCAAAATGAATAGCAGATTATCCATTAAGGTATAGTCTGAATGTGTGTGTATGAGTTTACTTTAGTAATCGCCATCCCGTGGGAGTCCTGGTCAATACATCGTGTGTCAACACATTTAGTACTGATATTACTAAAGAGTCGTTCTGTTTGAACTCGTAAACCTGCCGATGTTTGCACAGAAAATGAAGTTAGAAATAAAACGTTTGAAACTCAAAGCTCGTTCATCAGTGGACGCTCTCCTTCCACAAGTTTGATTGAGTAAAATATCCTAACAAATAATGGAGCCGCGACCACACAATACCTCTTGAAATGAATAGAAACCTCTATCACGTAAGCATCCAAATGTTACGAATTTTGTCGACTCTTCGGCTTGAAAGTCTGATCAGATCAAAGCCTTGGAACAGATAAGTTTTTACTTCATCCTAGCAATTGTCAATACCGAACCATGAAATTGATAGACACGCGTTTCATGAGAAGTGCAAATGGCAATAACGGGGCCATGCCGCGTCTGATTTTATACATGATATTCATGGCTGCCTTGGTAATCGTCACATTGGACGAGGATCTACTTGTACATCGATTTTAATCTTTTGAACCCTCGGAGAAGGAATCTGAAATTATAGAAATAGTCTCTATTGATAAGTATTACCCCGTCTGTTTAAACATCACCAATCTTTCATCAATATTTCTTTATATTCCGGTAAAAGGAATTGTCAACTATGAAAAATGGTCAACTCGGCTACCCTAAACTTATTAAGGGAGGGACCTTTCAGTTTCAAAGTAGCTGACGTCCATCGTAATGGCCTGCGTTTTCAATGGTTTATAGCTACCCGGTAGTCGAAATTGAAATTTGCCTCCATAGGCACACTATTATTTATAGCTGCTAACGACTTATTTTTAATTCCTTTTCTGTTTATAGATTATGCCGTATGTATTTCTATACAAATTTCATGATAATAAAACAAAAGTATTGTTCTTAAAATTGTGAAGAATCTTTATGTTCTGAAAATAAATTATGTCTCTTGAAATGGAATTGTGTACATTATGCAAAGATTTGGGAACAATTTTAGTAACTGTTATAATGTTTTTAAGTTATATTTCTATTTGGAAGAAATTTTAATTTATCGTGTTTTATGTAAGTATTTAAAAATATGCTGAATACTCTTTCGGGCTCAAAGAGTTTTATTTATATTATACAAACAAGGATAGCAATAAATATGGCAAAATATCATAAACGCTTATGTACAATATAACAACACCGTTGTTCTTAAGATTCAACATTGGACATTAATAAATGACAATTATACATGATAATAAATAACCTGTGCATTTATACACTGTAATTCTTGGGAATTCTTTAAATGGGACTTTTATATACATAATATACGTAAATATCTTCCCAACTTTCAACAACGGGTGAAAGAAATCTGAAATACTCGGCTTTCGAGAACACCAGTTTTATGACCACATTCATTGTCCACCATTCGTCTCTTTTCTTTCACCAGTTCTATTTAATAAAGTCAAACCTTTCAAAACCCACGTGGAAAAATAGAAACACAACATCTTCCCGCGTAAACTGTTTGTCACGTGACATTAAATTTTTCTGTCCATCCGCTGAACAGTTTTTATTCTTTTTTTCTTAACATAAAAAAAGAAAATAAATACGACACAGATATTTTGTACACACAGTTTTAGTTCAGACTTTCACAAAATATATCCCACGAAATATTTAACAAATATACATGTCAAATGTATGTCTTGTGTTTATATCAGTTTAATACTCTTTATTAGTAGTCTCTCACAATAAAGTTCTGTTCACAGTATATAGATCATTTATGGAGTTATTGTCACCAGGCTTCCATTTCCGGGTGATGTACAAGCGACTGTGCTGCCAGGGCTTGGCTGAAAGGGGGGCCATTCATTGAGCGCATGGGACCAAAATTAACGTCGGGATGTAACGGAGGCAAGGGCTCGGGCGTTGAGGAGGGTGGGAGCATGTCTGGATGCATGAATGATCCATCAGGTCCTTGTATGGGCATACCTGAAAAATATTAAAGAAAAACGTCAATAAGTAAAGATATCATTACATTTTGATTGAAATATACCTCAAAACAAGAAAATCTGTTATCTGACATTGTATGTTCTACAGTGAGTAAGTATATCCTGCCATATCCATGACCAACATATTACTTTTATCATAATATTGTAAACATTTTGTACTTTAAATGCACCCGAACACAGCGTCAAAATAGCAAGAAACGGAAGATAGTGGCTATTTAAGCATAAAAACATAAAGTCAATTTGCCAATACATGTATAAAATTTTGTAAATTTAAATTTCTTGCTAATTATAAATTCTATTCCGCCAAACTGACGGTCATGTATTTTGATCAATATTGGAATCACAGATGCTAGTTGTCTTAGAATCACATCTCTCGTTTGTTGATGATCTATTGTTTGTTGATCTGTCTTGACGGATGCCGACTTTATTATCCGTTTAAACCTCTCTACAGCTTAAACTTGTCAAACAAAACCTCTTTATATTCAACAAGCGCACAAAGACTGAACGACCATACTTTAACATGCTGGATTATTCTAACCTTTAACCCCCAAATTGATTCCAAGATCGTCATACTGTATAATTTGACAGCATTATGGATTTAAAAGGGATTTTTTGGGGTTGTTGTTTGTAAATTTTGTTAGAGTATATTGGATATTACAACTTTATTTTGCGTTTTTCGGACTATTTTAACGTCTTGCAATTTGCATCAAAGCCAAAGTCAGTCATATTTGAATCTTGTAATTTTAAATTCGCAAATCCCAGAAAATCTGGATTACCATCACAAAATATGTACATAATTATTGTTTTTCGCAATCAATATTTTGAAGTATCAAAATTGTTTCTTTATTATAGAAAAAGTATTATTTAGGCGAGAAAAATGTAAATTACATGGAGCCAAGGATGTGATAAATATTTGATGATATATAATGTCTGGCAATTGATATAGTGCCAACGCTGAGAATACGCTTAGTCTATTAAAGTGTCCTTCCTTTAACCGCCTCGTGGCACTTGGTTTTGTGTCAGGACAATGGCTATTGTTGCCACTACAAAATTTGCCTTGATAATGCCCCAACTATTGCGGGATATCCTGCCATGGGAAATGAATAAAAATGATCTGTTTTAACCGAGCATTAAATAAAGCAGATTTAGCGTTCCGAAGAATACTTCGACGTAATCCTTGGCTATCAATCGGTCTTTGCCATACACCAAATGTCTTTATCTTCTGTGCCAGTTAGTCCACACAGGCACGCTTTTCAGAGAGAGATTTGGTTGGTAATCGACAGATAATTATAAAAAGCGCTTGTCAAAACAAAATCGTCGCACTACTGATTTCTATTCGGCTGCCATTGAAGCCAAAATCGATTATTAAAATCCCGCGAGGCTTGGTACAGATAACGCAAGCTGAGTCGGCTCTTGTCTTGTGATAGATGATATTCAAGACTTTGTGGATAAATTTCCTATAACGCATCGCCTCCTTGGCGTTTACTTGGTTTTTGTGTCTCCCTGACGGCGTATCATTCACTGCGATCTATGCAATCAGCCATATGTAATTAAAGGCTAAAGTCACATTTGAGTAAAGATGACTGGAGGCGAGATGTGAGCAAAAATAAATCATTGGCAATTTCTATCTCCAGAGTCAAATGTGCGTTTTGTTAGCTCGCTGACTTTCTAGATTATAGAGGTAATCGTTTGACATTACCATTACCCACGGTGCTAACACAATCACAGAATATATAACACCCAAACATTTAAAATTATTTCAAGAAAGAGTTAGACATAAAAGAAAAAGATCCGTGAAAGGTAAATTCGGTTAATAAATTGTAGCTTTACCGGTTTGTGAGGTTAATTAGATGGGTGTTGTTCAATGCAATCAAGATATAACCGTATAGCACGGAGTGATTGGTAAGTGGTGGCTTAACTTAGACGAATATATAATTATAATTAGAAGCTGTGTAATCTAACGAGTTAAGGGGGGTATTACATAAGCAGCGTTCCCATGAGGAATAAAGAAATCAAATGCTGTCTTCTCTCGGACGTCAATTGAGCAATCTTGAAATAGCTCCCCACACACAGAGTAATAGAACCTTAATACTATCAACTTAAGATTAAAATTACAACATCTGGTTCTGGACTTTGATCTCGGGTTGCAAGCATTCGTAATACAATTCAATATAATGTATTCAATACAAGACCAATGGTCTTTCATGGCTACGGTTTCACATTTGGCGGATGATTTTTTTTTATAAATTATGTATTATTGAGACAGACTCGCCAACTTCCGGAAAGGAATTTTTGTAGAGTCGCGTATTAATGAAAACCATTTAAATCACTTAATAATGTGTATTATGTGAACCGTATCATTTTAGAACATTAGCTCATTCGTTTTTGAAAATCGTGATTTAATAGGCGCAGACATCGTCAGTGATAAATTGACGATTCATTCCCAATTATTAAAGATGCACAATGTTTAAAGCCTAATTCATGTTTTTACGCTTGGTATATTATGCTGGAAATGTTTTCGTATGTGGTATTACACACAAACATATTTTACTTTGATTTTAGTTTCGCAAGAATGATTGCTAATGCCTAAGTCATAGTTACCTTGTGATGATGGAGGTAGAAAATTCATGTTGCCTGGACCGTCTTGTCCCGGTCCCATACCAAAAAATTCACCATAACCACCTTGGTAGCCAGGATAAAAATCGCCACCATTGTCTGAAAACAAAATTGATATGAATAATGCACAAATAAAAATAAAAACATAAATCTACTGTTATGTAAAACATGTTAAGCAATACTTTGAGAATCACTTCCGGATGATGTCAAAACAGGGTCTACTACGGAAACTAAAATTGCCCGCTCATTTGCGGATCGTCCAACAGTTATTTCACAATGATATCATGTAAAACCTTTTTTTTTGCGAGGTTCTCATTTTCAAAAGTTTCGGTTTTGCTTCTTTATTCTTTCTTTGCTCTACTTTAAAGACTTAAATGAAGCTCACAATTACTTAGCTTAGATACATTAAGATAGTAGTTTGTATTTTCCGTGTCTATATTTTATACGGCAGCTGCAGTGTTGTCGTACTTATTGGATTTGAAATTATGAAATTTAGCTAGATAGAAAATTATGATGAGTATAATTACTTAAAATTGTTATATGTTCTAAGTTTAATTTTCACATCCTGTAAAACGGCAAATGTTATGATTTTTGATGGATTGAGCATTTAGTGAGTTGCTACATAATTACGTTTTTTTTCTGTGGATAACAAACCCTAATGGATTTTTAATCTAATGAGTGATTTTGGCTAACATTTTGACAAAATTTGTTTTACAGCTTTAACTCATGACTTGAAACATAGCCATTATTAATAATAAGCTCATAAAGTATTATTCACGTGTTTTCAGATAGCTGTCTGGTGATAATTCACGTCTTAAACTCACATGATTTTAAATCCCAAATTAAGAAAAAGAAATAGCTTTAAATTGAGAAAATACGAGTTAACCGAGATTCGCAAAATGTTGAATTATTGACTATTTATATTGTTTTGTACTAACTTATACATATTGTACTCAGGTGATTATCACAGTTCTTGCTGTGAATAATTGTAACCTAAAAATCAATGGTGAATGGGTCGGGTTATCTTTGGGTATAATACACGTACTTGTCGACACATCCTTTTAAAAAAGTGTGTGGTTCCCCGTTGATATTAATCACCAGAGCGTTGTTGCGAAACCCTGGAATTATTCATCTCGATTTGGCTATACTTTGTGCTTACTGGGCATGAACGTCAAGGCAGAGCTCGTAAAGAGATTTATATGGTACGCATTGTACGCTTTGTCACCTTACTATATCACTAACATCGCATGCAAGTGACAAATTTGTGCATTCATCGAAATACATTGGATCCGTTTTAGAGAATTAGTTAAAACATGTATTAAAGAATTTTCTACCTTTTTTAACCGCCGCCCTACAAAAAAAACGAAGTATGACGAAGCGACATCAAAAACTATATTATCCCTTTATGCATTAAACAATTTACACTTCAAAACTTATTAAGGTGCGTAGCTTACTTCAGCATTACAGATCTGTAAGTATTATGCCATAGGCTATTTTAAAGAAAAGCTTTGCTAATAATTTTATGGCCTTTTAAGGAGTTTCTTTCAACAATTATATTTTGACTATACGTCTTTTCACATTTTATCTGTTTTCTCATAAATATAGCATAAATTTATTTAGAATTTGGGATTGTTTAATTTGATCCAAAGCTGGAAAAGTAACTTAGTAGATCTTTATTTGAAATAGCTCACAGACAATATACATTAGCTTATAATGCAATTACTTCAGTAATATATCAGTTATTTTTTAAAATATATTTTACTAAATAATTACTATAAAATATTTTTGCTTTATAAATATATCAATATTTAAATTTGAAAATCTGACAATGCCTCTAGCATGAAAATGGACAAATACTACTTCCCCCAAGAGAACAAAAGTAGAGAAAGCAAAGCCGTTTAAGACGAAGAAGCACTTCCAAGTTCCTGCCTGATCACACAAGAACCATCGAGACAAAATCCAAGCTTAAGATCAAAGTCATTAGTAATGCATAAATGGATGTATATACACGAATAAGATTTAATACCCTTTGTCTAAAAAGTCATCAAGATATATATTTCGGCATAGACAGCCATAGGGATTCTTTTTTGCCTATTATTATAATATAGATTTTAACATGTGTAGACTATAGCCGTAGTCATATGTTATAGATGAATAAGCAAGTATAGTATACAGGACGACGAAATTCTTTTTTTAAATTTTTTTTAAACAAATCGTTTATCATGTAATAGGCCAAGCAGAAATAACAGGTACACACTTGATAAAATCATTAGAAACATGCTAAAACATACTACATTTAAAATGTATTAATATTAAATAAATGTATTGTTACGACGTAGGCGAGTCGAGCTTTATATATCAATACAAGCTTTTATATATATATATATATACACACTAAAGCAAACAAGCTGTCACAAATATGTCGGAATTTCAATTGAATGGGGTATTAAATTGATAAAGTTGGATGTTCTATCTTGTTTGAATTTGACTTATTTATGTTGAACGTTTCTGATTTCGAATTACTATTAACATTATTGTGTAATACACATTCTTAATACATTACTTTATTTAGAATTCCAAAAGAAAAACAAATGTAGCTATTATTCTTTTAAATATTTCAAAAATATATCCCATATATGTAAATCCATGTCTATATACATCTGCTTGAATTTATGATAACTGTCTTGGTCCAGGTTATATGGTCTCCAATGGTCATTATAATGGTAAATAATCACTTATGGCGGTAATAAACAGCTTGAACTAAACTGAATACACTTCTGTCTGACATCAGATGGAATTTGATATCAAAATATATCCTTTAAAAAAAAGCCCCCCCCCCCAAAAAAAAAAGCCGGGTATTTGGAGGCAATGTAAGTCACAACAAAATAATTCATAAGAAAAATCATTCAGTTACGATGACTGGAAAGTTGAATTGTCTGACGGACAAAATGTGGTGGCGTTATATAATCCGTTTTTTATTATGTCCAAGAGCGGAAATAATCGTCGAACATTATTAAGCAAAATTTTAACAAAAATAATTTCCACTTTATACCAAAATACATCGAAATTTAACATGAACTAGGAAAAATTATTCATGATAAAAGCTTCAGATGGATTAGTCATTTTCGAGTGAATACGAAATTATCTAAACAGAGACATTATGGAAATAAAATCTCGGGTGAAAACTGATCAGATAAAATAGTGCCAAAATCAGATCTGGTTTTTCCGGTTGACCTGACCGCCACGTGGGCCCAATAAAACAGACCAGTGACAGGGCCTTTGTTTAATTTCTGCCCCCTTCTTTATTTCATGGCCATCAGCACACCAATACCGAACGTGTTCATCAATCTCGACAACTTGTTTATTGCCGTCAAACAGTTTGCAGCCAGGTTTTGGGCGGATCGTCTGTGTAAAGACTGAATTTTTATGTTTATCAACTGGCAATAGATTTTTACATTTGAATGAAACAACTATAAAACTAATTGTTGAAGTCCCAAAAAAGAAACTTTCAGATGTCAAGCAGCTTGTACGTTTATGGGATGACAATTCTTTTGCTAACTAATGCACCGCGTACGGAAATTATCAATTGATGAACTTAAGTCGACGATTCAGTAACCATTTCTTTTGTGAGGTTACAGACGGCAAACACATATCTCTTTATATATTCATCCTATAAAGTAACCTTAGGTTACAGACATTTTGGCGAAATGATAAACGATGAAGACTCCTATCCTACGTCTTTGAAAGCACAAGAGATTCAGATCAATAACGAGAACAATTTTAAAAAATGGCAACTCCTTAAACTGAAAACGGATTAAACAAAGTCTAGGTCAATAGTACACACACATTTTTGTAGTGGAATCAACTTTTTCCCCCGGAACAAACTCGCCATATAATAACGACCCGACTGTATTAATTATTTTACAAATCTGAAAAGGGGGTTTCAAGAAATGACGCATTGTCACCTCACACTAACACCAAAAATTGACAATTTTCAAATCATTTGTTTTTATATTGCAAATTCGCTAATATTAACAAGAAGATAATTTAGTGTAAACAAACGGATATCTATACATGCAAATAGTTCAATTTAAGTTTTTCTTTCCTATTTGCAAATTCCGTCAAAGAAAATTGACGTAGAGTATAGCCTTGGGAAATACCATAGCGTCGATAATGAAAATAAAGGAACATATTTATAAACGAAGCTTCATACAACCTTTGTATCCGTATAAGAGTAAGTATTCTGTGGGGCATTGAATTATATTCTGACTGGTTTGTCAAATAAGATTTTATAGACGTATCACTTCTGAACAGGTGCACTACTTCAAAGCACAAAAGCATTTTTGTAGATTTATCTACGTGAAGTTAACCACATAAAACTTTGTTAGTGCTTAGTTGTTGAATAAAAGAACTTGACACTTCAAAGTAAGTGATGTCGGATAAGTTAAGAGATTTGGACAAATATTAGTAAGGTACATACACATTGAATGTATAGATGTGTAAGTATTTGGGGGGAGTTGACGTGACTTCTTATAGTATCTGTTATTGTAATGATGAATAAGCAGTCAATATTTGTCTAATTTTGTTTAGCAAGGATGTTGATATGTATATATTCGATTATTGCATCAAATAATTATATCAATAATTTCTTTCTTTTTAGTTTAAAGGGTGTGTGTAATTTGTTTTAATATAATCGTTATATGATACCAAAGTACCCCAAAATATGTATATTATATGTGATGAAATATTCGATAACGCATTGTAGACGTATACCAATAAAAGAATTTACTTTAACTATAAAATAATCAGTATTCTGATGTACATCTGAGAACCTATTTTGTTTTTAAGAAATAAACAGAACAAAGACCACTATTCATTACTTTAAAAAAAAATCTGAAAATCGGATTGCTTTGTTAGATACCACCATAGATATAGGTATATAACTCTATCTATGTCAAAACAAATGTAAACACAAAACCACTATCAAACAATAGAACATTTATTCTTTTATTGTAAAGCCGTGAAGTACGGAGGCAGTGAGCCATTCTCGTTCTAACAATAGTCCAACAAACTAAAATATGTCCATTCAAATCGGTATAAATCATCCCCCTTCTGTCAAATGACTTAACTCAATGTCTCTCATAGAAATAATGTAAATGCTTTATGCTTGGTATGTCTTTACTTCTGTCTAAATGTGTGAATGTTCTAACCCCATGCCTGACAAAAGGTCGACTGAAATATCCCTCCCCGACGCCCGCATTTTTTGCTTAGCATCAGGGAGTCCCTGAAGACAACAAAGCCGAACAGGCGCCCAAAGCGGCGTTTTTGTCATCAAGAATAAAGTTCTTTGTGTGCCCCTAGCATGGTATATAATATTTCTCATTAATCTAAAACATGCATATATATGGTACTTTAAACTACATGTTTTATTTGGGTTAATACTATTCTAAATAGTGTACGGGTTACAGCCGTGAAGAAATTGAAATATTGGGTTGATCGTTGAGTAAAAGTCTAACAACCACATATCTGATTCATCACGCATCTTGAATTCCCTCCCACCGATTAAAAGTGTGTTAAAATTGATCGAGATGGTATTGTTAGCTCATATCTCATCACTCATTATTTGTCTGATCCCGAAAACGACTCTATTCGATAGCTCACTCGGCTTATCATTAAAATGTGCTTATCCTAAATACCCAACGACTAAATAGGTAGATTCAACAATCTTTCCATCAATAGGGGAAGCTCAAGTTAAAGAGGGCGATTCGGAAATCTTTGTAATTTACGAGGTAGAAAGAAGATAGGGGGCGTTCTAAAGCATTCGCGTTTATATCCCAGATAACCCTAAACGTTCGATTGCAGAAACTTTAATGGTTGAATGATACGATAGGACAATTTGTAGATGGGGAAATAAGGCATGTATGATCTTCGGCGGTATTTATATATAATACTATTTAGAAGACGTGACTACTGAATAAATGTAATTATTTTACGTCAGATGGAATTTCGTAGAGGGTTTGGGCGTCAGGAAAATACCAGCGCTACATAATCTCCCGGTGGGGATTTAATCGGATTTATAATAGGTCCATCAATTATGTTCGCGAACAACAAAATAGCGGTGGACTTATTATATAGCGAGCAGCATAGGCCGATAAAATTTCAATTAAAAACATCTTTGTAAATACTGAACGGAAGTGAACCAATTTTGGACTGGTATTACTATCAGAGAATCGTCTTCCACATTGTAGTTTGCAAGGGATTCTGGAGTGTGGAAATGAAGGAAAGGGCCTTTAAGATAACAAAACTAATACAGTAAAAGTATCGCGTTTTAGAACCTAAAATACAGTCTTCGCTCCAGACACACACACATACTTCCATGTTTCTTAAGGTGTTAAAATCCTATTTGTTTTTGTAGTACAGTTTGTATATTTTTTACATATAGATAAGAATATATATGAGTATTTAAACGTTGGTTATGATAACATAAGGTAAACGGTTATGGGTTTTCAATTACTGATGTATATAACGTGTGTGTTTGTCTTTGATAGGAAGGGCTTTATATTTAAAGATATAACATAATAGTTAAATGTTACTTACCACCCATGTAACCAAACTGTGGGCCGCCCATCATATCAGGACTGTCTGACATATCCTCACCAGGGCGTAATGCCCTCATACGCCGGGGATTTCGGAAAAAATGGCGTCTTGCACCTAAAGCACTCAGTTGTTTCATCCGTCTTTCTTTAGATCGTCTGTTTTGGAACCATACCTAAATTATACGAAACAAGCAAGTTCGTGAGCTAATGGATGCAACCAAAGTACATCATACAAAATTATTAGTCAATATGTTAGTTCTTAGTTTTCGATATCGCCCTAGGTGGAACGAAAATTAACCTCTATTATACAATCGATTTGAGGTCCTAGGCGATAAATGCTTTGGGCATGAATTTCAATATATATATATATATATATGTAAAAATGCTGCTTGCAAACCAAGCGTTATTTTATACTAACTACGTTTATCCCCAGCCATTACTACGTCATTAGGTTTATTGGTAAACTAAACAGAGTTACTACACATGGAAAATAGAATGAAATGAAAGAAGTTAGCAAAAGCCAGGGCCCTGTCTGATGTAACATGGTTATTATAAATCAAGGCATATTGAGATTGCGTTCCAATGTAGTGATTTGAACACAATTTCACTAATCCGCGCATGTCGACAGCTTTTGAAATAGTAAACCCATTACTAGGCTCACGACTGTCTTAATTTCGCCCAATTCTTGAAAAAACAAATTTTCCTTTGAAATGAAGACAGCCTCACTTAACCTCAGAAAATCTTTTCGACTGAAACTCTATGACCCTCATAATCAACCGCATATTGTGCTGATTTCGGCGTGGAGATAAAAGAATAAGATGGGTTAGGAGATTTCGCTTCATCTACGTTGGGCGCCCATGCCGTAAATTCGATAATAATTTTCTCCTTCTCGTATTTCGCCCCGCAGGTAAACGAGAATCCCCGTGCAAAGGGTATATATCAACCGCAAGTAGCGTCTTTCTGTCAAATACAGGCAGAGACGGCCGGAAAGGGATCAGTATCATCCCCCGTCAATATCCAACTTCAACTTGGAAAGACAGGCTTGAAGCTTTTCCTATTTGCCACCCCTTCATTATACCATCGAAGCAATGACATGGTGAAAGCAGAGATAGACTGGATCTTATCGTTTTAATTAGCTTTTACCTCTCTTATGATACACAGACTTTATAAGCCACACCTGCTGGCAAAGAAAGGCTTGTCTTACATATCTAATAATATCAACCGACGTTTGGCTTATAGTTCCCCTCGTGTGGCGGGATACGGGAGTACGTTAGCCGCCTTTGTTCATTTGGTTTGACTCTTCTCAAACTCCCACCAGGGATATTAACTTTGGAAGTCCTGGTGCTAACATCTAAAAAAAGACGACTGGCTAAAGTGGACAATGGTTCATGAGATCTGACAGACGACTCCTCGACTAATATGCCTTCTACAGCAAGACGAACGGGGTTAACATCTATGTTGTTAAATCTGAATGTTATGTTGCGTGAGATGCCAAGGCATGCCGAGGATAATTTCCATTAGATTTTCTGGGAGAAAAAGGTTAAGAAATTCGATAATGAAATGGTACACAGTTAAATGTTTTTTTTTATATACAAGACTTTCTTTTTATACGTGACATAATTCTTATTGAGCAAGGTGTGTATCGAAATCCCTTGATAAAACATATCACTCTACTTTTGTTCCAAAAAGTCTTCAATATCCTTTCCTTCATGTGCCCAGATTATAATAAGTGTATCCATAACTACTTTTATCTGCTTGTGATATGATTTTCAGCAGGTAAATATGAGTATTCCAGCCCCCAACAAGATCGTGATAAATGTGTGTAGAATGTTATCACAAGCTTTACCACACTCATTTCTTTGTTAGCTTCCTTAAGGCAAACACAAACGGGGCATTCCCCATGTATTTGTCAACTAGGAAGATGTTTATTAAGTCTACTGTATCACATTAGATTCCTAAAGTAACCACGTTATTTAATTGCTACTTTCCCCACTAAAGGGTGCTAGTTTACCATTCAAATTATGTCATTTCTAATTGTCAATATGTAATTTCAATCTTTTATCCAATATTCGTCATCAAGTACATTATTATGAAGAACCCCACCCCCTTAAATTTATTTTATCTGAGAATATATTCTCTGAGTTCGCTGGTCAGAGGTATCTTTCCTTGAGAAATTATTCTCATAAACTCTCATATCCCTAATGAAAACCTTTATGGAATATCTCAAGAATTAGAGTCTTCATATTTGCCATATTATTGAAGTTATTCATCATAAACAACATTTTCATAGTCAAAATTCCGAAAATCTTTGACCTCTGACGGACATAATCATGTGATGTATTATAACGGTAATGACAATAACCGGAAATTATTCACGTACACCATATTACAGCCACACACGTTAGGCTGAAATAGCAGCAACTATTTAGTAATTTAAAAGGCGATTGGCGATGAATTACGCGCTGTAGGGTATTTATAAAGACTTGAACTTAAACAGCTAACAAACTCATTATTGTTTTAGATGGTCTTAGCTACAGGCACCCATTTCAAGATGAGCACAGAATTATATTCTTAATGGAATAAATAGCCGATAATGTGACGATTATAACAACACCCTCTGGGCTTTAAATGTTACCCCATACAATCCCAGTAGTGGTTAACCATTCTCCATCTTTCATTTAACTATTGTACAACTCCTATTATTCTAAAACGGACACCATGTTTTGCAATTTTAGGAACAAAACACCCCAAAAATAAATCAAAGAGGAAAGGAGCTCCGACGTTCTTTACAAAACACTCGGTAATTCAAAATGGAATCCTTATTATACTGATTTTAATAGAGAATAAACAGTGAAAGACACACTTCAACTTTTCGGTAATAAGTTTTGTGTTTTGATTGGTTTTCGCTCTAATAATAATGATGATAACGTTCTAATATTAGGTTATCTATTTCTTAAACAATAATCCACAAAGTTGTTAGTTTTAGTAAACAAGGTTTAATCTAAAAAAAAAAAAAATTTTTTAAACGATTTGATCAATCAACGTTATACAGCATGTCAACGTATGTTTTTTCTTAGTTGAGTTTCATTTCCAAGTAAATCATGCCTTTGCGATGTACCTGTATGCGAGTCGATTTCATTAACATTAATCCACAAAGTTATTAATTTTAGCAAACAGGGTTTAATCCTAAAAAATATTTTTTCCAACGAGACGCATGTCAACGAATGCTTGTTCTCAGCTTTGTTTCATACCTTTGTAATGTACCTGAATGCGAGATGAAACATGTGTTATACACCATCCACTGTAGCTTCTCAACCTTAAACACACTTGGAGATATATCCAGTCTTAACTTATTTCATAACAATACATTTTTTATATATTCTCTGAACCAAAATCTACCATACAGTTCTTTGCGATGTGGGTGGCTTGACGATCATTTTCAAGCATCTTGATCGGAGGCGGAAGATACCCAGCAGCGCTTCAACAAAGCCAGTTTAACATTAGAACCTTTTTCTCAGTAGATATTAAACCCATGTTTCTCAATCTTACACCGTGTCTTTTCTCTCGGTTTTTGTAACACCCTTACAGACTCGGGGAGTTGGTTTCAAGTCCCTCATATCAAATTTAACAAAACGACAGCAGCGTCTTAAAGGAGCTAAACTGATTCCTTGGGCCGGGATGAGTTTTTGGCTCAGTTGTCGAAATTTGACCCGTGGATCTACTTAAAGATATGCTGAGGATTGTAAGATTTTTCTCAAACAATTAGAAAGTCGTGAATAGGAGCAACTGTTAGCATTCTGTTGGCCCAACTTCAAACTTCAAAAGCTGAATGGGGAATTTCTGAGATACGGAAAGCAGATCTCTGACAAGTTGGGGTGGGCTCGAACTTAGATATATGACACCAGGCAACAACTGTTCGCTCAACCTTAAAGGAACCGTAAAGTGGTCGGATGCTTGTATTTGAGATAAAAATACTAGAGACGACCGTGCTATCGGCAGTTACTTAGTCTCTGTCATTTGTATCAATGTGGTTATTTAAGATAACATCTTTGAATTGAAATTGTCATTCTTCATTGAGATTCATTTATGGGAAACATTTTAATTCTGTAGGCACAGCTATGCACATGAATGGGATTTTTGATACTACAACCGTGAATTAATTTACACTATATAAATTCCATTTCAAACTAATTGGAAGACTTTCTGAAACCTAATCCTTGCTGTGAGGTTGAATAGACCTACTGGCGTTTCCGAGCGTCTTTTTTTCTTTTTTTGTGTCGATAGTCCTACGTGTAAATAATAATTATAAAAAACTCAACATTTTGAAATTACTCGCCTAAGAATAAATAAAAAAAACCAGTGTACGCAATAAAAATAATATAAGCAAATGTGATTGAATGAGAAAGGCCTGGACAATTTTATCATCTGCTTCCGTTGCAATAAAGTCGTCGTATGAGTTATCTTCATCTTTCCTATATGCTTTATGGCCGAATTATTATAGAATAAAGAAACAATAAATAAACCTTAACATTGGAACAAACTTGAGAATAAGTGAGAATAACGTTGGCGATGTGCTAGACAAAGACGATTTCAGCATGAGATGGCAGCCAATGCTATATCTGGGAGATTTAAGGATGCAATCGATCATAAATATGCCGTTCTATATCCAAAATTCATAGAAAGACCATTAATTTGCGCTATAACATCTCTTGGCAATCGCGGGCTAATCTAAATGCAGCCGAGCAAGAATATATGACAGAGGCTCAGCTGGTCTGGATTAAGTCCTGGGAATGCTTGAATAGCCATAAAATAGATAACCAGTTCCATAGCCAAGACGAATTGCCGTTTCCAGACTCAAAGGGCTCCAAACTGTTCTCGATTTTCTGATATTTGTTCAAAAGAAGGATCGGCTGACTATTCGCTGAATGTTCCTGGGTTTACACATTTATAGCTAAAGCCGTTGAAAAGGGACAATACTGGTCTTTCTCAAAATGTATGATTTTATATTTGTCACGGGTGTCGTGTGCTAGGTAGGGTAAGCTTTCGCTTCCGAAACACCTGATACTACTGCGCTATTAGGGTACTGATTATATTGTATACCCACCTCAGCCCTTTTAGAAAGCCCACAGTAAGCCTATAATGATTAATGGGCAACAAATTGCTGAATTGGTAA